AGTGCTTTGACGCCTTCGGTTTTGACTTTGTGCCGCAATATCTGGCGTGGTTTCTTTGAGACAATGGAAGTTTGATTTTTCAAACAACGTGGTCCAAATGAAAGAGTTTTTATATTAACCACGCGTGCACCATCATCATTATCATCATCATCATTATCATGATCATCATGATTATCAACATGATCATCAACATGATCATCAACATGATCATGAACATCATCATCATCATCATCATCATCATCATCATCCTCCATTGCTTCGTTGGTAACCCAGGTCTCTTGAATCACAATTTTGTGGATGGTGATGCACTGTTTACGGAATCTGAGATGACATTTGTCTTGCGGGGACGCAGTGAAACGCAAACCATGGAGAGCTAGCAAAATTGCTGGCACGCAGAAAGCAGATTCTTCTTGGAAAAGCATCAAGAAATGGATTCCAGACACCTTGGAATCTACTGGTCGCTTGTGCAGACAAGTCAGCCCACAATTGCTGCAGTACATCCGAAGTTGGCAGTGGCGCTGTCAAGAAAAGAACGACTGTGTCTCACACCTGTCCAAAGCTTTGAAAGCAATGTATGCACGATGAGGTTTAAAAAAAGTTACTTCGGAGACCCCTCTTGGAAGATGCACTTGTCAAACATTCACGAAATGCAGGTTTTAAAGGCGTTGTGCGTTCAAAAACGCACGACGCCCTCGAGGGGACCTTCCCTTGTTTTTCATATGAACGGAGGAAGGGATTTTTTGTGGATTCATGTGGTTAAAAGCATGTCATGTTTACCAACCATGACTGGGAATGGTGAACATACCACCTATAAAAATGGTGATTATATGGTGATGACTGGGGGATGGTTTATTATTGTTTTAACCACATTAAATAACTACAATGTGAGGCCCCCCAGTTATAAATTGGTTTATAAGCCCCAGTAACTATAGTTATAAATACCATAAACCATAGTTATTGGAGTTATTTGCACCAACTTTGGTGTCTCCATCGCACTCCGCCAAAATTCAGGCCACAGCGCCGCTCCCGGTCACGGCGGCGCAGCCGATCGCGCCGCAGTCGGTCTCCCCGTGGTGCGGGGACTTGGGATTCAGGGGGGAAAGGTTGAAGATTTAGCAGTTCAAGCCCTACTTGGTGGCTCATATAACCCCAGTTATTTCAGTGGATTAACCCTACTTATCCCATTTATAACTGGGATTATAACCCACTTACGATTCGTGGGATGAGCCACCAAGTAGAAACCAACTACAAGGTGGTGCCTCTAAGATCGCTAAGTTGGTGAACATAACTCCATTTTTTCTATGGTTTACGGGTGATATATCTATAGTTAATGGGCGAAAAAAGGGGCACCACCCTGTATAAAGGATTATTTCATATTATTTAGATATATTTCAATGGGATTTTAATCGGATTACACATCCATAGATGGACTGAAGATTCCGCTAGTTAGAAGTGTTGGGATTTACCTCTAAAAAGGTGATGTAATGGGATTTAACCAACACACATGGTGTTTAATATGGTAATGGTGGGATTATACATTCCATAAATTTCCATAAGTGGGGTTACAAATGACAAAAATAGTTGCTAGAGGGACATAACTGAGGGAATATCCTGGGATATTTTAGCAAAATATCTGGTTTTTACTAACGGCTAACGAATCATCCCCAAATGGCTGCAAGTTTCAGCTATGTTCAGGTGAGTTAAAAAAAATCTAATTCAGCCAGAATCATGAGATATTTCACAAATATATGAGACAATGACGGCACGTCGTGGCCAGTTTTCAGTCCAGCAGGTTTTTTTTTGTATACCCAGCGTGGCGTTTTTTGGTCAAAAATCCAGTAGCAGGGATTTGTACTCAACCTTGGATGGGTAGTCTGATCGTTTATGTTTTTTCTATACATGGAAAATGACAATCACATAACCAACAAAACATTTTTTTGCGGACTACCCTCTGGTAATTTAACATAGCTATGGAAAATCACCATTTTATAGCTGGGAAAATCCACTATTTCTATGGTCATTTTCAATAGCAAACTGTTAGTCATTACCAGAGGGTAGCCAATATGTTTGGATTTTCGATGATTTTCGTGGCATGGGGGCATGGGATGACCTAATACCACGAAACGTCAGTCAAAACAGCTCTTGACCGAGCGGCTCACATGGGAAAATTTTCCTGGGATGTTCCCTTCGAAATGCTGCGAAGGGATGCCGGAAGTCGTTAGCTAAGTTGGTTTCTGGCTAGAATTTCTATAGGGATTATGGTAAATAGATCACTAGGGAGCAAAATCCATGCCACAGCGTGCCATGGTAAAATATATTAGACTTTGGGAATGACATGCACATGCAGCATTGATTTATTTCAGGAGTGTTTTTATCTGTCTATTTTGTTGATGAGGGTTCCTTCCATATACCAATCATACCACCCATTTGGGAATGGTTAATACCACCTATTTATGGTGATTATATGGTGATGACTGGGGGATGGTTTATTGTTGTTTAAACCCTATCTGGTTATCTGGTTGGTGGTTTGGAACATGATTTTTTCATTTTCCCCAATAGTTGGGATGATGATCCAATCTGACTTTCACTCATATTCCTATTTTTCAGGGGGGTGGCGGCTTGAAATCACCAATTCGCCAGTCATTGACATTGGTTTCTTTGAATTTTCCCAGCTATAAACCTCCATGGCTAAAGGGGCATTTCCCAACGGTATCCTATGATTATCCCGCGAAGCCCCTACTAAAGCATAACGAAGTTACCACTCAAGCCCCATAGTCATGATGTTTTTTGTAGCTATAAGCCCATAGTTAAAGCCCATAGTTATTTACTAGTATATTATAATTGATAAAAAGTATTGCCACAGCATTTTGTCCGGCCTTGATTAGTCCCTAGTGGATTTATGAAAATACTAACTTGACATAAGAAAATCCATACTTGAGCAGTGTTCAAAACCCCTGTTGATTATTGTCCAAGCGCAGGGATCCCGTTCTCAACCAGGATGAAATGGAATGACCGAGGGATTCTGAAGACTGCTATAGTGTGGTATAGTTATCTATACATAGTTATTATAGTTATTTTACTTATTAATACATTATTACTTCCCGTAGTTATTTTAGTATATTATATAGTTATAAGTTATAAGCGCATAATTTTCTTAAAAGTATAGTATGTTATAGTTATTATAGTATATTGTATATAGTTATCTACTCTATATCATAGTCATTGATAGTATGAAACCAATCTAACAGTGGGGCACCATTTTTCCCCCCAATCCCAGGCAGACGGCGGAGTCCCACGGTGCGCGGCTGTTTTCTTGGGCCACAAAAAAAGGGTCTCCACATATAGAAGGGGTCAATCATGGTGGGAAAATAGGGGGTAATCACACATCATATGAACCAGAAAAAACTTGGAGGTAGCCTATTTTCAGAGAAATGATGGTAGAAATTGATGACATGATATGAGTTTGTCGTTTTCAGCGGTAAGGGTGGAGATTTTTGCGGTTTTGATCAACTTTTTTTTAAAGCAATGAACAAAGGTGGACAGTCAATGAAACATTGTTGACAAGATTTGAACAACAAAAGATGGTGGACAACTTATGTCATGAGAATCCATGATGGAAGCGACCATAAATACTTTCTGGTTATGACTAACATAGCCATGGTATAGATGGCCCATAGAAATAATCCCATAGAAATAGATGGTTCACCTATTAAAAATGGGTGGATTTTCCATGGCAAATTGTTAGTCATAACCAGATGGTAAGATCTACAGCCGTGGCTGAACTCTGAAGCGACTGGAATCGAACAGCAATCCGGACAACATGAGAAAATCGAGCCTGAGGTCACATAGCAATTTTTGGCAATACATTGTAATACATTGTCATAGATTCCAGAGAAACCGCTTTTAGTGATACCCATTCAAGACATCCAAAGGTGAGGAACCGTTTACGGGGTGAATACTTTAACCGAGCAAAACAGTGCCCTTAGTTGCCATCTGAATGGGGGAGGGTGAACATTCAATAGCCATTTGTGGTTCATCATGGTCCGAGAGTGCATTGACGGCCTTTGGGCATCCCAAAAAACTCTCTGGAAAAGCACTCTGTGGTGGTTTCCTAAAATAGGGCTAGCCCCAAATCATCCATCTATAGACTGGGATTTTCCATAAAAAAAAGCCATCCAGCTATTGGGGTAGCTCCATGGATTGGAAACCTGCATGTTGTAGTCGAATCTTGTCTATACATCCTCTAGTTGATGCTCTGTTTTTTTAACACGGCTATGGACTAATGGGTCAAACAAACGTTCCCAGACAGGTTGGATGATGAAAAGATAGCCTATGCGGCTTGACATTCTTTGGTTGGCTAGATTTGATGTTTCTATCCATGCAACAAAAAATCTTGTCCATCTGGGTATGGAGTAAATTAGGATAATTACTCAACGCTGCAACATTTTGATATTAAAACTTGACTCATACTGGTAGGGTCATGGCCTTATCTCTTTCGGTATATCCCTTTATATCCCGCTATAATAGATTGCATTATAGCACACACTAGTAGAGAAGATGAATGAACATGATGATAACCAGCAAATTTAGGTGTAATATTGTCAGACTGACCCATATCCCATCAGACCTACCGATTTCCCATCAGACTTCATCATACCGTCTTGTATCCCCAATATTTATTTAAATATGTATATATATATATATATGGGTAAATTATAACGACCTCACTGTTCTCCCTCACTGGAATCATAGTTAATAAGGGAAATCATCCCCAAATGGGCCGCAAGATTCAGGTTAGTGAAATATTACAATTTACCCAGGTACATAAACTATGGATCCAAGTACCTTCTTAGGAAGTGTTTGAGGTATAATTTACTATAACTTGGAGGCTTTTTTGTACCTTTTCACATAGTGTTTGGATCCATAGGGATATATATATACACATACTATACGTATCACATGCTGAATAGCTGACAGATGTTTTCATGCCAAACTGCAATGGTTTCTGCCATGGGGCCATGGCCACGCTTTCTGTGCTGTACCATGAGCAATTGGCGTTGCATACTATCGATGCTTGGTGCTTGTGCTTGGAGTTTTTTTTGGGATCCACGTTTTACACTGGTTTAGAGGTTTATTAAACTGGATGTTGGTGCTTCGTATACTTGTGAAACTGGATGGCTGGGCTTCATAAACTAGTTATTTGCTGAATTTATGTGGGATTTATGCCACAACGACAAGTACTGTGGTTGAATGGACAAAAATTGAGGATACACATAACAAGCATGACCGACAGGGTGTCTTTTTCCTTGAGAGATTTTGCTTGCAAAGTTGACATGACATGGTGGAATGTATGTAGAAATGATAATCCTAGCTACAGATATGTGTACGTATGTCTCATATGTACAATAATACATATTATATATATATGTATATATATACATAATTCATACATATATGTACATAATGATATTGTCTTGTCAATGACGATCGCAAAAAGGTGAACTCGCTGTCTCAATCACGGGGCCTTGGCATGGCTAGCTACAGCTCAGGATTACTTGCCAGCAAAGAATCTGGCAAAGTTGGCGACCACTACAAAGTCTTGGTGGCAGATGTTGACCGAAGGTGGGGACCGGAGGGCTACTCCGCTGACACTTTGATAGCGAAACTTTGGAAGATTTTGAAACAGAGAATGATATATCTATGTGGATGTACTTTTCAGATTTGTTTGAGATACAGTTATGGTGTTTGTTTGTTGTACAGTGCAGTTTTTACCTTTCAGCTTACCTTGTTCTTGTTGCCGATTGGGGGCTCTGTTTCTGCCTTTTTTTGAATGATGTGGCTCAATATAATTATATATATATGGTGGTCTAACATGGTCAGGCCTTTCTTTGGTGTATCTGAAAATCAGCTACCCTAAGTCCACTGGTTTTCATGATGATGTTGCCAATTGAAAAGGCAATAAATCAAATGATATACTTCGAAGTGTTGTTCTAGTTCTAAGTGGAAATATATATATATATATATATATATATGTATAACCATAGTTTTAGGGTTTATATCCCAACTTCTGGGGTGTACATTTTATAACCATGATTTTATGATATAACTCGATAAAACCAATCAAATAGTTTTAGGGTCTCGATATCTCAAGAAACATGGGGGCCCCGAGGCAGTGTCCTTGCAGGGCGCGCCACGCGTGGCCGTTTGGACCTGCAAAGGCAGGGATGTTTTTGGTCGACTGTCCCAAGAATGGAGATTACCCTCTGGTAAACATACAAAAAGATATTGAAAATTGCCATTTATAATGGATTTACCCATGAAAAATGGTGGATCTTTCCAGTTCGCTATTCGTATGTTTACCAGAGGGTATCATGGGATTTCAAGAGATTTTACACCTGATTTTTCATGTTTTTTTAAATATATAGGATTGATCCTCTGGTAACATGACGATCATGACGACCCTGCCAGTTGGTAAATAGGGTTGGAAGATTTGTTTCTAAATGATTTCAATGGGATTTCATGCACGCAACTAGTGGCTTAAGGCTTGGATGGGGATTTACCATCCTATAAATGTTATAAATGGGAATGTTGCGAGAGAAATATGGCGATGTTCCAGCGATTTTGCCATGGAAGTTAAAGACTCTGGTAAACATACAAAAAACTATGGAAAGATCCACCATTTTCAATGGGTAAATCCACTATAAATCACCATGTTCAATAGCAAATTGTTAGTCATTAGCAGAGGGTATTGACTACCAAAACTGGGCTACAACTTGGTGATCATAGCGAGATGTAGCAAGAATTTGTGTTTGCCAAGCCTCGCTGAGTGGATCCTGTGAACATAGATGTGGAAAACATAGCATTCGTATACTGGTTTAGGTGGTTTGGAACATTAATTTTATGACTTTCCATTCAGTTGGGAATGTCATAATCCCAACTGACTAATATTTTTCAGAGGGGTGGCTCAACCACCAACCAGATAATGTTCCTCTTCAAACCACGGTTTTTCCACATCTTTTTCGAGCAGTTGACCTTAGGGTATCAATGTGTTACTGAAGTGGTACGGGGGGTGGGAACTGTATGGAAGAAGCGGGTAGACCCAATGGCATAGTCACCGTTCCAGCAACCAACCATCAAAGGGAGTGAGAATGAAAACAAATCGTGAAAAAACGGCTTATACCCAACTTTCTAAAGCAAACTTAGGGAATATGCCATACGGTTTCCCACATTAAATGGTTCGATGTAAGATATGAAACAGATCGCTATACGGTATAACCATCTACTGACCATGCATTTCCAGGATGATCCAGTTTTCTTGAGAATAGATTAATGCTATGGTTACCTTCTACATGCAGATCCATGTAGCATGTGGGCGCTCATTTTCCAGAAATTGTCACGGGTGAGTCATAGTGATCATTGTATCTCCAAGGTAACGAAAGGAATTGGGGACTCTTGGCTTGCTACACCCTATGGCCACTTCATTAATGGGCCGGGGAAAACTTGAACTGAGATATAGGCCTGGATTTGTGTATTTTAACGAACACAGGTCATGTCATCCTTGGACTGGTTCTCACAACCCTTTCATCTAAGAATCTGAGAATGTAAAACCACCAGCACGCACTATAATGAATTCGGATATTGGAAGCATGTACTTTTATTTACTCCAAATGTATCCAAATGTTGCGAATGTATATGAAACATATGGGAAAGACACATGTAATATACTATCGATGGATGGTACTTCGGGGTTCAGTTCAGTTGTGGTAAATCTGTATGTGACCAGGGCGAAAAAGTAACACCCTTAGTTGGAATTTCACCCCTTTAACCATGGCGAATCGTGTGTAGTTTGTCAATCAGAATGGGATACCCCGAGTATGGGATACCCTGATTCTGTATGACATCGATCAACATTTATTCCAGAAATTGTTAAGTCAGGTAGGTAAGTATGCCTGGATGTGCTGAAGGTTATTTTGTATTTTCTCAATGAGAAATCCACTACGACTCGGGAATCTATAGGCAATTTGTTTTAGTTTTTAGGCTTCCTTAAGCAAATCCAACCAGCACCATGGAGCGTCTGGCATAGAAAATCACCACGAAACCCGAGATTTTGATGCTCTGTTCAGGGCTACACATTTCTTGCTGCGCTTGTGGCGTGCGGAAAGCGCTTTGGTCTACGAGGCCGGCTGGGAACGCCGCATTGCGGTTGAGGAAGTTTTGAGCTGTGTTGAGCGAAAGCTAGGTAGCTAAAGTTGGATGTTGGAATGAAATGTGAAATGACCACACATGACCAACCCAACCTGTTTGATTTGTGGGTCTTTTTTAGACTTATGTCTCACATAGCTATGCCCGTTTGTATTTTAGCAGCAAAAGCAAGGATATTGCAACAGAAAGTAAATTGGCGGCATGGCAAGAAGAAACAAGCATATCATACAAGGTGGGGCCGGCCCCGTAGTTATAAGTTAATTGGTTTATAAACCCCATTAACTTTGTTTAGTTGTATCTACTATATACTTCTATATACCATACCAACATATACCAACTATAGTTTATAACTAGCAGGTTATAGTAGCTAACTTAGTTTATATAACTACATACTCCTATAAAGGTCCTATATACCATATACTTCTATAATATATAGGTATTTTAGTTTATATGAATTATCTTCACCAACTTACCAATCCGGGGGCTGATCACAGTGATAATCCCGGTCATCCCGGTCCATATTAAGGGACCATTCAGCGGACCATTAAGGTTGGGGACCCTTGGTGGCGAAGTAGCCACTTGGTGGCGAACTACCCACGAATCGTTTAAGTGGGTTAGTTCACCCCAGTTTTTTGAGTGGATTAACCCGCTCCTTATCCCATGCAAATAACTGGGGTGAACTAACCCACTTACGATTCGTGGGATGAGCCACCAAGCACGAATCCTAAGTGGGTTATAACTATAACCCTGTTTTTTTTGAGTGGGATATGTAGGGTTAACCCACTGAAAGAACTAGGATGAACAAACCTAGTAGGATGAGCCACCAAGTACTGTATGTTTGTCGATTTAGCCTCTGCTTGTTTTAACAGTTTTAGATCATCTGTCGAGTCAAGCGAGGCCACAGAGTCGAAGGTCAGCTTCGATGTGGACACCGCGCATTTCCCCCATTTTCTATTTATTGAATTGAAAATTATAGGAATTGCCATACATTGCCAATATTCCCCCCATTAAATGTGATATGCTCAACATGTTCCTGTAGAATCACCGTGGGGTTTTCTAGTGTTTTACTCGTACCCCAGAGTTCCAAGTTCCACCAGGAGTTTGCTCCCGGCTGGCACCAGCAGTGGCTGGTGAGATACGAAGATCAGCAGCTACGACCTGTGACTTCAGATGATCAAGGCCCATAGCGGGTTGCTTGGAACTTCCCCAAATACCAAGAATGTGAGGCCCCCAAGATAGCTAAGTTGGTGCAAATAACTCCAATAACCATGGGTTATGGTATTTATAGCAGCTATAGTTACTGGGGCTTAAAAACCAACTTGTAACTGGGGGACCCCACATTGAAATGGATCAACAGCCATTTCAGGAACCGATTAGTTGGAGGTATCTAGCATATATAAGGCCTATTTTTCAGGCCTATGTAAGGGGTGGCACCCCCTATTTTGTGAAACATCCACATGAAATGAGAAAATTGAAGGTTTAATGGGAAACCATTTGGAACATATGGGAAAATCCTTGAACTAAATGATGGAACATCTGCTATAAATGGACATTTAGAACCGGGCAACTCATCGATTTTGGGGAGTTGTTAGTTCATGTGGGAGAGTATAATAACCCGGCACCTATTCGTTTAGTATGCCATGATCCCCCATTAGCTATATATAGTTCTCACTCGAGAAAACGATAAGAGGAAAAAAAAACGACAACGATGCTCATACATATACATTATATATTGTTTATGGGACATGTTCGAAGCAGCAAACTTTGCAGATGCAAGTTTTTCCCTGCAAAACAGATGTGAAGCTGGTGGTTGTAAGGTGATATCCCACAAAGAAAACACAATATGAATTGTTTCATGAGGGTGTGAAGCCAGCACTTGCAAAAACGATAAGAGGAAACAAAAAACGATAACGCGTGGAAACACCATTTGATTGATATCGGGGTTTTTAGACAGCCCCATGTATGATTCGTTTAACCGTTTAACCATGTATGCAGACAGGTAGTAATTTGTTGTTCATCTCTGTTTCCAATAGCGATGGATACCTGTGGCTGCCGCATGAACCTTGTGTTCAGAGATTAGAGCCTTTTCCTGGGTGCATCGGTAGATGTTTACATCATGTTTCCTCATGTTCCCTCATCATTTTCCATTTCACACATTGTTATAACTGGTGGTATACCATATACCCAAAATTCAGGTACCCCCAAACATCAGATTTCTGATGTATATTTCATCATACTCCCAATATATCCTCATGATATCCCATGTTAATTTAATGGCTACTCTGCAGTCATTTTTCATTCTTTCCTTACAAAATCACACATTTTCTGACATGCGGCAATCTTGGATGGTTCTCTCAGAAATTGAGCCAGTGATTTCCTGGAATAACAAAAAGGACGATTTTCCAGGAACAGTCACAAGTTCAAAAAAAATTGCCATGTTGCCATGGTGGTGCCGGGTCAGCGGCAATTCGCGATCGAATCACCTCGGCAAAGATGGTCCCAATGAATCCCAGCAGGTTTCTCAGCATGGGACCATCGCAGTTTTCCAGCACGGGACTGGAAAACTTGGATCATTCCACTGGCAAAGTGCTTAACAAAAAAAAGACAACCATAGGTACAGTCCTTTTGGGGAGGGGCCACTTGGGGGATTTAAAAATTTACTCATCAGGTTTTTGTTTAAACAGTTTTGAAGTGAGATCTGATCTTCCAAAAAAGGTTTAAGTTGCTTTTTAAACTCCAGTACAGATTTATCCTCCATAATGCCAAAGGTGAACTAAGCCCTATGGATCCAAACACTGTCTGAGAAGGTACTTAACCCTCCAAATTATAGCAAATTATACCCCAGTCCCACTTCCTGAGAAGGTACAACTGGATCCATAGGGAAGTAATACCCCAACTTAGTTCGGTCCATCCCCAACACCCCAGCCTGTCCGCAGATGTCTTCTCAGCCCACGGCCGCCTATGGCTCCGTGGCACGAAGGCGCGTCTCGTGCGGCAGCTGAGCGAAAGGCCCAGTGGGCTGCAAGTTCGCTTGGCCGTGACAGAGCTGCAGGATGGATCCAGTGTCATGTGGGACACCAAACGAAACCATGGTGGATGTAGGGAATAAAACAACATAATGTTGACCTCTGATTTATCAACTGGCCCCCCCCTCCCCCCTCTTTTCCCTAAATAAAGTTAAAGGCCACCATTAAACTTGTTTGTATGTAAAGGTTTTCAATTACCACAATTTAAAACGATAATATAAAATGCAATTTCAAAAAAAAGGAATCCAACAATTGTTTTAGTAATTATTGATTTAGTATTCATTTCATGGATTTAGTATTGATTTAGTATTCATGTCATGGATTTAGTATTGATTTAGTATTCATGTCATGGATTTTGTATTGAGCTAGTATTGATTTAGTATTCATGTCATGGATTTAGTATTGATTTAGTATTCATGTCATGGATTTAGTATTGAGTTAGTATTGATTTAGTGTTCATTTCTTGATCAGCGGGAGGGGGAAACTCAGTAGCTTTATTCAGGGTCAAACTCTAATTAGTGCTAAGGCACCTCATGGGGGGTACCCTTGACGAGTTGATTTGGGATTGATTTTGGATAATTTTGAATAAAGGTTTTGAATAGAAATAGGATCCATTATTTTTGAAAATTTGAAGTTACCAAGGTAAGATCTAATGAGCTGGCAGTATGAAATAGTACATGAAAGTCACCTCAAATAAAGCATGGACATTTTTTTTCAGCCCCATCTGGGCAAACCTGGGTTTAGGGCCAAAAAACATTAGCTTTATTTAGGGGTCATTTATTATTTAGTTTGGGAGTTTGGTTAGCTTTATGCAGGGTCCATTTATAAATCGTAGGTCAACATTAATCGGGGCCAAAGCATGGGATATTTAATATTAACGGCGGATGGGATTATGCCAAAGAATTGATGACAGATAGAATGCCAGAATATAATGCCAGAAAACATGTCTAGTAACATTTCAAGGCTGGGATCACTCGAAGTAAGGCGATTTTCATTTTTTTGGTGATCCTTAAGCAAATTCAAGTATGCCAAACATGGGGATAACAGGGAACAAAGAAAAAGGGACATCTATATATATTTTTGGATGAATGTGATCATGACCTCACATGGTGACGTCATTGGACTGATGGTGAATGTAAGGGGAATCGCCCACAAATGCAAGTTCAGCTATTTTCGGGTGAGTGAATTATTGTAATTCGGCCAGTCTAATATCATTGGGGGGTTAAACGGCGCAGACTAGAAAAAGGGAATCTGGTTGGTGGTTTGGAACATGTTTTATTTTCCCCAATAGTTGGGATGATGATCCAATCTGACTAATATTTTTCAGGGGGGTTGAAGCCACCAACCAGTAATCAACAAACATGTTTTTTAATCAGGAAAGTGGATCAATCCTTCGATGGCTCAACAAGTTACAGAAATCCAATAGCTCTGGGTAGGCAGGATGAGCCGAGTCGGAATCCGACTCTGTTTTCATGGCATCAACTTGAGGGCTTAGGGGTATAGGCACGGTATAGGTATAGGCACATGGCACTTTGCAAGCATCATTTGGGATGTGCCAAATCCTATTTACCATATGACTGAGGGACTCATCATCCGTAAACCCATGGTATTTTAGGGTACCCAGGGTACCTAGGGTATTAGGTTTTGACCTATTTGGGAAGAAACAGTTTTCTCAATCTCAACGGCTAAACTCTTCGTAGGTAAGATGTGGTAAAACATGCGAATGGGCTGAGGCAGTACGATCTTAAAGAACCTGCAATCGGTAACTCCCGCAATAATGTTAACTCATCTGAAAGTGGGACGATTCCCCCTAAACTCAAGAATCTACCCTCTGGTAAACATACTAACATAGCTATGGAAAATCACCATTTATAGTGAGTTTTCCCACGAAAAATGGTGATTTTCCATAGTTATGTAAACGTTTACCAGAGGGTAATATGATTTACCCTCTGGTAATTGAACATACGGAACTGGACAATCTCCATCTTTAATTGGTCATCGAGCCAAATGGTCCATTGTGCATAGCAAACCGCAACACATTACCAGGGAGTAGATCCCCATGATAGCCAATAAACACCAACCAATTCCGCTGATGTCAATGGTCCTTTCAGGTACCTAAACTGGAGGGGTACCATATATAAAGCATTATAAAAGCATATTTGGGGGATAAACTGTAGGTACTGTACCTATAAGGTCATATTTGGTGGATATATTCCCTTACATACTCCAATTTAGGTTCCTGAAATGGCCACTTTTCATGGATTTTTTTTTCAGGTCGCAGCCCATGGTGACTGTGCTCTGGGCCATTTGACGCTGGAAGATGACTCCGGCCGCGCTTGCGTTTGGGTCTACGTGGAGAGAAGGACGCCATGCTTATTAACTATGGTTGTAATGTTTAACTATAGATTTTTACTATAGCAATAAGGTAAGCATAGGTAAACCCATCAACATCCATTAACTATATGATACTGCTTGGTGGTTTGGAACCATGGAATTTTATGACTTTCCATTCAGTTGGGAATGTCATGTCACCCCAACTGACGAACTCACTCCATCATTTTTCAGAGGGGTAGGGCGAAAAACCACCAACCAGTCATAGTATGTTTTCCTTTCAGCTATGGCACATTTTGATCTCCAACATCCATGAACTGTTTTTGAGAATATGTCTCATAAACCCTACAATGTGGGGCCCCTAAATGTGATGTGAATCTTGGTTAACATATAAGCCCCAGGAATACTAGTTCGTTATAAATACCATAAACCAGTTCGTGAAATTGGAGTTATAAAGAGTTATCAACGCACCCACTTTTCACGCTATCGTGGCCGGGGGCCTCACTAACTGTTGAGTTGAGAACGGGATTTCCCTCATGGATTGCGAAGAAATCCCCAATTCGTACCCTCTGGTAAACGTTTCCATAACTATGGAAAATCACAATCTTTAATTGGAAAATCCACTATAAATGACCATTTTCAATAGCAAACTGTTAGTTTACCAGAGGGTATTGATTAATCCCCCTTTCGATATTCCAAAAAAAACAGCGGAAGCTGGGTACCGCTCTCTTTTGGGCGCAGTTTATATAAGATTTGCATCAACTTCGCTGTCGATCCTTTGACGTTGGGCCGGGCCCCTTGTAGATTGGACCAGCTGTCTCATGAAGCAATGGGAAAAGGACATCGATCTGGGCAAATCATGGTGAATTTTAGGGGAATCATCCCAACATGGCCCAAGATTTCAGGTGAGTGAATCAGTGAATTGATGATTTGCCCAGATCTATGGAATCTATGGTCAGTCTTCCTTTTTTCGGGCGAACTAGCCAAGAACATGTACATATGTCACATAATGTCACATATCGATGGAGAAAACTGACTCCAGGGTCAGAATAACATAGCTCCCAAGCACAGATGTGTGCATTTCTTTTGGTACAAGGTGGTGCCCCCCAGATTTAAGATATTATAAGTTGGTTCCTAAATCGAGATATATCCGCCAGAAAACGTACTTGACCTACTTATAAAGCAACTTACCTATGTAAATCTAGCGGGACCGACCTTGTACCCGAGTTTGATCAGCGACTGGTGATTGCGATGCCCGATGCTCATGAGCCCTTTAATTTAAAATCACCACATTCAGGGACAAATGGTGAGTTACCAGCCTGTTGATAAGCTTGAAGCGGAAACATGTCGGCAAGTGTCCACTTGAAGCTTGACACTGACATTTTGTGTCGTCGTTCTTCAATGCCAGGACACATCAGTGTTTGGGATTCTTTGGGTTGCGACCAAGTGTTATGTTCACAATACAGGTGGCGACCAGCTCTGAGGCTCAGAGCAGGTCGCCATCCTGGCTAAGGGATATGCTATACAAAAAGAATGCTTACACATACCCTCTGGTAAATAAACATAGACCCTGAAAATCACCAATTTTTAATGGAAACTAGTCTTCCAAACCCTATCTGCCAGGGTCTATGTTAATTTACCAGAGGGTATACCCTGAACATGCTGAAAATGCATCCCTGTGTTGATTTTCACTACTAAATGCATCTAAATGCTATGACCTAGGTCCCGCAAATCCAACAATTTTCTTCAGTGCCACATGTGTGTGGGTCAAAATTGGCTACCCCTAAAAATGGATGTTCCATCCAAAATGAAATACTCGTACCAGTCAAATTCTCCCTGGAATCATACTTAGGATGAAACATCCAATAATTAAATATATCGACTTGTATTTTTGTTGACTTAATATTTGTAGCCACTAAAGAATGAACAAAAATGCAATATTCTTATTCAAACTATATAATTATATATATATATAAATAGATAATATATATATATATGTAAAAATATTTATATGTGCCATCATTTTCCATATAAATCCCTGGCCATTTGGATGGTTCAGCCAGGAGCGACTTCGTTGGCATCCCATTGTGCAATCTACACGTGAACTTGTTGGATCATCAGCCGCTCGGGGAGCAAGACGACCCATGGGTTGAAGGACGTTTTTCTAAAGGAGACCATGGTTATTTAACCGCCAATTCTAGTGATTTCCTGCATTTTTTCCGTAAAATATTCCAGTGAAGTTTGTTACATGGCTTTTGGAAGATGAATTGTTATATGACCAAGATTTCCCATGAATGACTGGTGAATTTACCGAAAACAATTCTGGACTCAGAAGATTTCCGTCGGGGATGGATCAGCCTGGGTTGCCGGTTGTGAAAGATGGGGGTTAACAGCAGCAGAAAGGATTTCAATAATGTGGAAACTTCCCATATATATATATATATATTAAACAATATATGTATGTGTATATATATATACACATTACTACTACTACTACTGCTACTACTACTACTGCTGCTACTACTACTACTACTACTGTTGTACCAACTTGTTTGTGTGTTGTTTACTATACCCACCTAGATCTGGATGGGGGGTCTAGTGATCCCAAAGAATGGTCTTCTTTTGCAAAAAAAATAGGAAATCCGACGTTTTGACTTGCTTCCGGTTATCCCCATCCTGACCAAGACATATTCCGACAAAATTGCTGCCATAATATTTTTCAACATATATTGTGATATATTTTCTGGCGTCTACTGTGACGTATCTTCTGACACAGGTGCCATTCAGGTGCCTATATCAATCCCGTAGGCAGCTGTCTTGCATGACATCGGCAACGGGTCCGTTGGGACAGAAAGAGTCCGCGCACTTGCCATATACAAACGCGGTCCGGCGGTCCGGGCTGACACAGAGAGTCTGCGAGCAAGTCGGGAATGACACAGAGTCCACGAGCGAGCTATCTGACGAGGTCCAGGATGACACAGGGAGTCTGCGAGCTTGTCATGAGAGGAGCCAAGAAGGAGGGGGAGGAAAGGAGGAGAGGGGGAGCTGATATAAGAATCTACAGGCGCTCACCTGAACAGTGTGGAAACTATGTCTTGGGCTTCTGTAGTACATGGTAAACCCACAAGGTTACCCCAACGCCACTGCTGCCAAGGCTGAGCAGTTGCTAAACGGAAAGTGTACGATGTACCAGGGGTCAGGGGTAATAACCCATCTACTGACCATTTTCACATTTACGCACTTAACAATTTACTATAGGGGTCTCCAAAAGATGCCAACATGTGTTTTCAGGATGTTATAGGCGATGCTTCCTCCATAGCCTCAAGGTTTCCATCTTTTCTATTTATTTGGGGTTGCTATAACAAAAACAAGGAGATCGACCAACGAGTCTGGGGACGTCTGCCTTGCCTCGCCTTGGGACAGGCTTTCTGCCTTGCCTTCAGGGCCTAATGACTTCCTTACGTGGCTTTGCGGCACTGAGCCACCGACCTGATCAGCGAACCAAACATGGGGACACGCAGACGCACACATCTATGTAGAATCATCCTGAAGAAGATGGAAAATCGCATTTCCAAGAAGATTCCTCTCTTATAGTGATGCTGCCGGAAATTTCCGAACGTATTCCGATTTCAGAACTAGAGTAAATCTACATGATGGTGTCTGGCATTTCTATTTTTCCGCCGCCTCAGGGTGACCATGTGCAAACGTATAATATATAATTAATATATTATTATATTTGTATAGGTTTAGAGGGGTGATTATAAATAGCCTTTTTGAAGGATGCCCAGTACGGGAACTATAGGCATTATGCTCAAAGCAACTCCTTTAAGTATGGGTCAACTTTGAAGGACAGCCAACGTGTGTGAACTGGTCATTCTTACCACGGAAACAGCATTTGAGTCCCCTAAATATGACCTGTTTCCTTTTGTATGTATTTTCTTCTGCGGGTGCATTCCAACGATTTCAAAACGACCTCACCATTGAACAGGCTGGTGGCTGGTGGTTCAATATGCGTTCGCCATCCCACCTGTGGGTTAGCAGATTCCAACCACCAACCAGTCAATGAAAATCACTAAGACTGAGGTTTTTGAACTTAAGGAGTGCCTTTCCATCTATTTCACTTCCGTGAGCGGGTCTTTTTTGTTAAGGTGCCAAATGGAAATATTTTCAATGAGAGAGCGAGAGAGAGACAGAGAGAGAGAGAGAGATATATATATATATATTGTACATATTTATGTTTACTGATCTATCTTGTGATTTAAGCCGCGGGCGATTTGTGGAACTTACTTGGCCAGGGTGTGCAATGATATATTTTGGTCGGCCGGCTGCTGGTTGTTTCAAGTTTGGGTTGGATATGTTATGTTCAGACATTTTTTTGCGCAGCAGCTTTACGCAGCATGAACGAGGACTAGATCGCTACGGCGCAGTAAGTTTATTATACATATTATATATACAATACGCATTTGTACTTACAGCATTTATATTCATAAAACTGGTGGTTACACATAACATAACCCGTGTATGACCGACAATCGATTGTTTTAGAGTAGTCGTGGCCTGTGTGTGGGGCCGATGGTACCCCAACGTAGCCCCATGAATAGTATAGTTTCTTTTTCCTTAGAAAACATGGGAAGGTGATTCTTTCATTCTAAGCACCAGCCAGATTCGGAACAATTCTGCCACACATCCCCGCACGTGCCATAGTCGAAGCAAGGTTTATTATCCGATGCAAATTTATTTTCCGAAAAAAAAGGATGATCCGCTCCTTACATCTAAGGGTGTTAATATACCAATTTCATTTGGAGGCCCATTAAAAATGGGATGGGTGTCCACGTAACTTGACCTTTTGGCACATGGGCTGTCGGGTGAGTTGACCGTGACAAAGGTGGCCCTGGAAACCATCAACAGATGGGGAGCCACACAATCAACAAAAAAAAGGCAGGCAGAGTACCTAGGATGAGCCATGCAATCCAACATGGCAATGGAAAATTCCCAGTTTCAATCTAGGTACGTCACCCAATTTTGTTGGGAATTCTGCATTGCCGTACTTGTCTACCAGAGGTTCTCCATACTGGAGGGGATTTCGAACAGTTCCTAGAGGTTGTTACAAAGTGGAGCCCGTACCGTATGTTGGTTCACTTTCACGCATTGAGTGTATCCGTATCCCTAAACATATAGATGTAGAGAGAGATTTATATATATATATATAATATATATAATATTTATATATATGATATATAATATATATATAATATATATAATATATATATATATATATCTCTCTCTACATATCTGTCATGCATGGTAGAAGTTACAAACCAACTTCCCTTTCTATCCTTGGACAATTTCCGGGTTTTCTTGGCAAATTGGCCGATTCTCAGAAAAGCTTGCCCCAGTAATCTTGGAAGACCAACTCTGTGTGTCCATTGTGTCCCCACGTTTGAATAGAAATTTGACTGCCGTACAGTTATAGCCCTGTACTGGTTATAAACTATCAATGGTTGGCACAGGTTATGAATGGGGGTATCATTCCATAGTTAGGGTCGCAACTGAGCAGCCGCCAAAACCTCCATGTGGAGATTTAAAGGGCTGTTAAAGTAAGATGGCTCCGCGAAAGGTAAAACCACGTTCGCGAAAGATTCTTGAAAGCTTTTGCGAAGATTTGCTCCCGCGAAAGCTCGCGAAAGAGACTTTCAAGGCTCAAAATCCTGGCTTTAAGTATGTTTGTAGACAGCTTTTTCAGATGTATCTGGATCCACACGGATACATTATTCACAAATTTCTATAGATGTGACCCGAAAATCCGCGAAAGGGAAGACAGAATAGAACACAAATCATCGGGGTTTCGGCAACCCCTCAACTGGCTTATATCTGGTAAAGGGCAAACACTGTAGTGAGAATGGCAGCAAGGACTAGAATAAACAGGCGAAAAACTAGTTGGATGGCCATGCTGTTGATTTTTGACCCACGGTCAAAAGGTCGCCTTCAGACATTTACCCTTCAAGTTCGCAGTTCAAGGGTAACAGTGCTTTTTTGGACCTCTCAGACCCGACTTTGCCTTGCACAAATTCCAAGGGCGTCTCTTAAACCCATGTCTGGAAGTTCGCATATTAAGTCTATAGTTCATAATTTGCCGGGATTAGTATGGGGATGGACATATCTCGGGGTCCGTCACGCCCAAGGAACACGGATCCCAGAACATGGAAACCAACTGCGACGCACGCACTGCCGTGCACTCAATGCCCAAGGCCAGATGAAGGAGCGTGAGAGCACTTATTGGGCAGGGTGGGGCCTAGTGGCCTGCATATTCACAAGGGACGTTGGTAGTTTGGCCTGGCTGACACTATGCTGTGAATACGTGTCCGCCCACGAGTAGCCAGGCACAGCTGTGATGCAGCCAGATGCGCAACATTTGGATTCGGCATTGTTCCCAAAGGAAGTACCACACCACCCGTAGCTTTAGGGTTTCTTTGTTTTGGCGGCCGCAATCCTGCTGGGAACGGCAAGACCGCGCAGAAGAATTTTTATAGTTCAAAGTTCTGGTGACATGGTCAACAATCTATGTTAGACACAAACTGGCGTAAGTGAGGTCCCTGGCGGGTTCTGTTTTAAAGTATCGTAGCTTTGCAACCAAATATGTTGAACCAACTTAAAGCACCGTGTTTCTTTTGCTATTTGGAACAGTTATTAAACTGGACATTCGTGTTGCCTTGCTTTGTGCCCGCTTGACAACACAGGCTTTCCTTCGATCTGGACTGGCCCAATCGGCTTTTGATGAACATCCGAGTGGACGGTGTTTTGGTGGCACCGGAGGACTTCAAATTGGGCACGACAGACCCTGGGGTGATCAAATTATGAACGTAACATTTTATTTACATATGCCGCAACCGCCCAATGGAAAATGCGTGTCTGGACATATTTGTTTGTGTGGACATATTTGAAAATCATTCTGTGATTTGACAGGACATTGTTTTCACCATGTATTCGAGTGTTTTGGCCCCCTTGACGCAGGCTTCACTTTGGAAGAGCATCTTGAACACACCAGTACCATGGACCACGGATAAAAACAAAACATTTTTGGTGACAACCATGTTGGATGTCGCACGGCATTATGAACAATCGAAAAAAATGCAAAAATATCCCATGATCTGTGTAACTGGTTGTTTTTGCCTTTGGGCGGCATGCCATTTCTTAAAAACCAAAACCTTAAATTTTGGTATTTGCAGCATTCTCTTTGGCCCCGCAGGAAGATTTCCACCACCCGCGGTGCAACGCAGCGAAACAGTTGCGGCTCTTCAATATGAGGGGTGACTCGTGCGCCAGCGCGTGGAGAGAATTGCTGCTCAAAAATGTCACCGCAACGGTCGCATGGTTTTTTGGAATGTGACCAACCATCATGATGGTTTTCTCACCACCTGAAGGGCCCAAGGGTTTCGAAATCACCTAGAATAAACCAGTTGTGCTCCATAATTCACCTTTGGAATGTTGGAAATTTTGTTTCATATTAGTGAATTTTAGATGAATTAAATCAATCCCCAGATGGATTGTCATTTCCTGAATATAGTTTGCAAAACATACTCGTAGTTGCTTGAACATTTCAATGTTGACGATTTTTCATGGTTCACACATTGGTGCCTTCAGAAAATAGTTGTTATTAAATGCATGTAAAAAACAACATCGCCATCAGACCCGTGGCATTCGCGGCACTATGCAGCCAAAATCGATTAGTCTGTGAAGTCTGTGATTCATTTTTTTGCCCCGAGTGTCTAATCCCTCCCCCAAAAAAACATGGATTACTGCTTTGAGTTCATTTTGATATTGTGGATGCTCATTGTTACTGTATACTGTGTTCTAGTGAGTAAAATGAATCAGTTGAGATCGTTTGACCCTCACGGTAACTTTGAAAAACAAGTAGAAAGGGGTTTCAAATCACCATCCATTTTCTTGCGGTTTGGAACATTTGATCTGCTCCAGGGGTCGGTTTGTTTGGCCTTGGCTGCATGGGTGTGGCGGGATGGTGTACCCGGTGTAGCTCAACAAGGGGACGATGAAATCATGGAAGTGGCAGGGCGACGAGAGCGGCGACGAAGCCAAGAAAGAAGAACCCAGGAAACGATTGCGGGGTGGCCTAGAATCTTTTGGTGGGCCAGTGTGGGCCATGGATCAGTCTTGTTGCTATGTTGAAGGGGTTTGTGATTTATTGATTGGAGTTTATCAGTGCTAATCCTTTCCCCAAATATTAAGAGAGCGGCACCCAGTGGGGGAGTGAATGTTCACCAAAAATTAGCATACAAGACTGTAAAGATCAATGTTTTTGATAGAACATGGTCACACCAAACGAAGCCGCCTGCTTTCGTTTTGGATCACCCTTTTGGTGGTCCAGTGATGAGAGGACAAAGCACTTCAATATGTGGCTTGTCAAGGTGATCCATTCTTCACTGCCATACCCCTCTTCTGGTTTCGTGTTCTTTGAGACAGGTACCCCAAAATAGATGACATAGAAAGTCATTGGGCAAATGGAATATTGTGATATTGTTTACTATGTTTGGTCTACGACCTAAATAATCCCATAGCCTTATTATATAAATCATTAATCATTATAAATCTATACTATTGCCAGACGAAATCACTGGTTTATTACCCATAGGATCCATGTATGGTATATATGCTAACATTTGGGGTATATTGATGGGATCCATGTTACCATATATAGCATACATGGATCCTATGGGTTTTTGGATGGCTTTTCATTTTAGGGACCCATCTGTAGGGACCGTTTTATTGTGGGGATGGAGTTAGTCCATATCATATCCCACTTGTAGGGGGTGTCACCTAGATAGCTAAGTTGGTTTATGTTCCTTTATGTTCCTTTCCATTTTTTAAATATATATATATATATCATGATCATGATTCGTTCATATATATATATTTGAATTACATGAACCATAAACATTAATATAACTGGTTGGTGGTTTGGAACATGATTTTTATTTTTCCCATCATATTGGGAATGTCATCATCCCAACTGACTTTCACTCCATTTTTCAGATTGGTAGGTCAACCACCAACCAGATTATAATTAACCATCATTAACCATATAATAACCATATAATAAATATATAGTAACCATTATTAACAGTATATTAACCATATATTACCTGAACCTCCCATTGGTACACAAAAATGTGTACCATTTTGTTTCTGCCCGATTTCAAAAAATGTGCCCGTTTAAGGGCCTGAAAAAAAAAAGGTGTCCGAAGTTCCGTGGCTCTCCATAGTAATCAACCTGATTCTTTCCCCAAAGGCTCGATAGGACACTTTTGTCACGCGCTAATGCATGTGCAGCATGCCAAATACGACCTCGAACAGCCACGCCTGACAACATGGGTTGCATCGCAGCACATGTAAACAACCTAGCTTTGGACAGGGTAAATCTAAAGTATCCACCTCAACATCACGTATGTTTTTCATAGGCCAAGAATGGCCAAGATACCTCCAGCAAACAACCTTCAGCTATAGCGCAATTTTCACAACACCACATCAACAGTCGGGCATTTTTTTCACACCAAGAATCCTCATGCAGGGCGTGCAACATTCAACATTCAACACAAAAACACCACAGTCACAACAAACAAATACATAACATATATAAGATGAACACTGCACGCGGCAAAATCCAGAAACATGCGCACCGGGAGTCCAAGTAAAACTGAAATGAAGCCATTCCATGAACTAAACGGTGCGATGGAAGAACTGGCTAGGCTCAGACTGAAACAACATGCCCCCCACAAGCTCAAGACCACATGGCGGCGCCTTCTCTTCGGACCATGCCTTCTGTTCGGATCATGCGTAAAAAGGGTTTTCAAAAACACGCGACACGTCATGACGGTGTCAAGTGGTACACTTTTTTTTTCGCGCCCGTTTCGCGCCTTTTTGCGCCCGTTTTGCGCGTTTTCGCGCCCGTTTCGCGCAAGACCCTTGGATAATATCAGGCGCAAAATGTCAACATCATGCATGTCAAAGCCGACCTAATGCAAGGCGCCATTTTTCATCAAGCAAACGTCAACCTGACCGTGTTTCCCAGAGTTCACGGTCAAACTTTGTCATGCGCAGCCATGCCACAGGCCGGCTACTTTTGCCATGAGGTGTTTCCACATATAGTCCCATGCATCAAGCACTTGCGCGTCGTGCCATGAGTTACCCATGGGCAGGGCTTCAAACATTTCACAGCGAGCGGAAAATTTCCGATTTTTAGTACTGGAGGAGGAATCAGATGCAACCATCTGAAAAATAAGTCATGCATCCAGTCATGCATGGAAACAAGAACGTCTTCAATATCGTGCGCAGCAGCCTTGCTTTTTGATTGAAGTAAATCATGGTAAAGCTATATATAGGGTATGGGGATATTTGGCACAGATTAATAGCTGCATGTTGGTCACATCATCTGTGCCCATGTCATCTTTCAACAAACACATTGTGAAAGTAACTATATAGGCCAACTAGGCTTCAAACCCAGCCACATGCTTGCCAACAGGGCTGATTTGGACGCATATGTTTGAGCACAAGTTGGGAAGGGGCTGGCAAAACTGAAAACGGCACAAAACATAGCCATTATTAGCCACTTGGAAGAATATGTCCACACAGTTACCTTTTTAAAAATGTGATCGAAAATGAGGTTGTTTTCAGAATCTGCCCGTTTACCAAAAAAGTGTACCAAACACGCTAAAAGTACACATTTATCTGTACCACTGGGCGGTGCAGGTAACCATATAATAACCATATAATAACCATTATTAACAGTATATTAACCATATATTAACCATATACTAACCAGATATAAACATATCATTAATGTCAACCAGAAATCAACCACATCTATCCACTGTCGCGTCTTCACCGGTCTGGTGGGCGGATCCTCTCATATCCATGGTCCATCGCAGATCACCGGCGGCTTCACCAGGATATTGGGGCGTCCCACGAATCGTTTTTGTGGCTCAAAAACCCCAGTTTTTGAGGTGGGATAAGTAGGGTTAACGGTTCCACTTAGTGGGTTATATCCCAATTTTGAATGGGATAAGTAGGGTGAATCCACTAACAAAAACTGGGATATAAACCACTTATGATTCGTGGGATGAGCCACCAAGTGATACTGATGTCCATTTTTACCATGCAATATGTACATCCTTTGTGTGGTCCATTTGCTGTCTTATTGAGTCCTTACGGTTTCTGGTGACCTGCTGATTCTTTGTTGATTAGGACTCAGGACTGATATTACTTATATATGTTTGCTAATGACTCAAAGCATCACGTCTGTTTGATACTAATTGAGTCCATTATATACACAATCCCTTTCTCCCTCCAAGACTGTTGTTAGCATTGTGTGTACATCCATGGGGTTTGATTAAATTCTGATTTGTTGGCTATCAGCCCAATTTGTGTTGGCTAAAACAACATGCATACCTGCGCGACTGGATGCTACAAAGTGGAACTCCCTATGTAGGTAAGCTGGTTGATTACTATAATAGGCTTATCGCGTATGTAGGAAAAACAAGTCAACCAACAACCAAAATCTACCAAACTTGATGATCGCAGAAAACAGTTGACATATTCATATTATTTTAGAATGATATTCGTACTACACTGGTTGGTGGTTTGGAACATATTTTTCCATTCAGTTGGGAATGTCATAGTCCTAACTGACGAACTCCATCATTTTTCAGAAGGGTTTTTCAACCACCAACCAGATTAACCAGATTATTATATCGGGAGTATACTGAGTATACTAGCCTTTATTTGAGTTGGGCGTATCATCTCCCATATAATCCCATAAAACCATCCATTATCCCAGTATCATTACTATCCAACCAGTACACTACAATGTGAGGCCCCCCAGTTCTAAATTGGTTTATAAGCCCCAGTAACTATAGTTATAAATGCCATAAACCATAGTTATTGGAGTTATAAACCAACTTAGCCATCGAACGGGGGCCTCACATTGTACTATCCAACCAGTACACTATATACCCATAGATTTGCTGCTACTTCAACCCCTCATCGGTGTGTGTGGGCGGTTCATCCAGGCCTCGCGGCTCGAATTTCTCATGAGGTACGGCCGGTACGGATGTGTTCAGCGAAAGCGATGGCGAAAAATGGAAGACATGTCTCCCTGAAACATATACCCTGAGACATAATATATTTATATACTGTATATATTATGTATTCTGTGTATATATATATATATTATATTGAAGCACAAAAAAAGATATTGTTTTTGGGATGAAGTTGAAGATCCATTTTTAAGATATTTTAAGGTGTGAGCGGTCCGTGGTGTTCGACCCATATATGAGTTTGCCAAGTCGGTTCCAAACCAACCGACATATGGATGTTGACCTTATTTGAGGTAATTTGATTCCGTTATGAGTTGAAAACTGCTACAGGAAACAGAATTCACGGGCACCTTACGGTGGATTAAATCATATGATGCAACCATTCAGAAAGTGGATGTCCCAAAGTTTTCAGACTGCCAGAGGATTTTCATGATGCAAAACCAATATGAGCCGGTCATTTCTTTAAACACTGAAAAAGGCACCGCTTTGGAGGTGTAAGAGAAGTAAGAACATATGAAACAAAGTGAGTAAAACAAGTGCGGAATTATACAAAAATATTTAATAGCTAAAACAAACGTACATACACAAAGCGACAAACAAACTCTAGGTTTTGTCAAAGTGTGTTCACTTTTTATTTATAGACCAGCATGAGGAGATTCTGATCAGTCTATGTAAGCATGTCAATATATGAAACACGTAAAAGGTAATTATATAATGTGCCAAAAAGGAAACAAGTGCAAACCATGTTTTTTTTACATGTTTTGCACTTCTGCTTTTCACGATTTATTATACAACTGTATCAAGGGAATCTGGGACATTTAAGCATGCAAATTTCCTGTATCCACGAAATGAAGTACAAACTCTATGAACGTATCAAAGAACACAAGTATTCAAGGATTTGGCACGCAACTAGGACTTGGCACTCGTAAAGCTGAGCAGTAGCGGGGTAACCGCTATCAAGTGTGAATTGGCCAATGAGTTGTTTAGGAATATGAATCATCATTCGCCAGTAGGGGCCCTTCATTGTGGGATAGTTTACCCATGGGTGCCTGCAGGAAATGCGGTTGGGGGTTTGGGGTGCCTTAAAATTAGTACAATGTGAGGCCCCTGTTCGATAGCTAAGTTGGTGCAAATAACTCCAATAACTATGGGTTATGGTATTTATAACGAACTAGTTACTGGGGCTTTTGTTAACCAACTTACCTATCTTGGGGGCTCCACATTGTAGTATATATAGCATTTAACTCTCTGTATGAGTAGCAAGGAAGCCTAGCCTTGCTCAGGCTCAGGTTTTTTCTGCGACATAGCCTCTTTGGTTGGCCAGATATTAGCTGGTCGGTTGATTTCAGAGATTGTTCCTCGTTAGATACCACTTGGAGGCTCATCCCACTTAGTAAGTGGGTTATAACCCCAGTTATAAGTGGATTAACCCTACTTATCCCATTTATAACTGGGGTTAAAACCCACTTACGATTCGTGGGATGAGCCACCAAGCAGATACCTTTTTTTGAATGGCTTGTGTACTGTAGCTGTTTCTAGGCATGAAAGCTATTGAAAGCTACCTCTATTCGCCAGCAAATGATCCCTACCCCAGCTCCATGTCGGGTCTGTATTTTTATTGGACTGCAAATAGAAATTGGCAATCAGTTTCCCATCCAACCATAGTGATCAAGTTGTGTTCTCAGTCTTTAACCACCATAAACAATAAACACTCAACCCTAGTTAACCTACAGAATGGTGCCCCCCAGTTATGTTGTTGGTTTATAAACCCCATTAACTAGTTCGTTATATCTACTATACACTGTACACTCCATAGAATTCGTCCACTTATATCTCAACTGAAAGCTATCTTTGGGGCCCCATCCTGTATAGCTATGTTTAAATTGAGGGTCCAGGAAACCCTTTGTTCTGAGGCACGAGTTTTGCGGGGATCTGAGCCCAGCGGATGTCCGTTGTCAAAGAAAATCGATGACAAAGTGGTCCATCGGAAATGGATATTTACATCAGACATGGCCAAAAAAACACGGAAAATATGTTTAATTACAGTATGTTGAATACAATTTATCAGTGGGAAACTTGCCCTGTGAAAGAATGTTGAGACCAATCTACCAATACCTCACCATTCTGCGTTCTCGAACGACCCTGCCGTCGAGCTGTCGCCGGCGAACAGCGTTTATTGGGCAAAGTCAGAAAAAGGGGCTGCAGCAACGGGGCTGCCCCCGCTGTGACATCACTGGAATCATGGGAATTGGATTCCGAGAATCCCCAGATCACTGAAAAAATCCGGTGAGATATTGAGATTTAGCCTGATGTTAAATTAAGGTTTGCCCAAGACTGGGTGTTTGATCGAAACCCACTTGTCAATACTTGTCATACTTTCATGCAGAACATGAATGAACACACATTTATTTCAAGAAAAAACATTGGATTTGGGGTTTTTACCAAAATGTTACAGTAAGTCAATGAGATAAGTTGCCACTGTAGGGACTTGTCAAGCCGCGCAGAGTTTTCACTTATGATCAGACATCATTCTACCAGACCGGCTACATGGATCAGCCTTGGATGGGTTGAATACATGTACTTTTTTCCTGCCAGTGATGTATGGAGGTTTCCTAAAGTGGGGGTACCCCTAGAGCATCCATGTATAGCTCGGATTTTCCATGAAATAAACCATCCAATGCTCGCTTGGGCATCCCTGGCGGACCTGGACTTTTGTTTTTTTTCCCCTTTGAACAATGGTTATTTGGGGGTGTGCCCCATTTTCAGACCCATTTTTGTTGCAGACACATATGGTTTGTTGGATCTGACCCATTTTTTTTCAGACCCATACGTTGGTATAATGGTTATTTGGGGGCGTTCCAACAAACCAGACACATATCTATTTTGTTGCAGGCTTGCTACCGAACATGTCGGGTTGTGGGTTACCAACAGCATCTCCAAGAACTCCACTTTGATCACCGGAGACGGTTAATTTGTAGGAGATTTGCTTCTCACAGGGTACAGCAACCTTTGGTAACTTCCAGTTGGGAGGACAGCAGTCCCACGTGTCTTGCATTATTTTGCCGTCGCACTTCCTCAAGTCTCACAGCGTCGCACAGAAGCAGCCAACCCAAAGCGCAGTTTTGTCAGCATTGTCACCAGTATGGCTCCACAAAAAAAAGTGTTTAGTAGACATATTGTTTGATAATATGTTTGATAGCTATCATAGAACTACTACTACTACTACTACTACTATCCACTAGTGATACTATGCTGCAACCGGTGACTGGCTACAGGTTTTTGTTCACCTCATCCAGTTCGATACATCGCCAAGTGAAAAATCACCAGCCAACTCCACCCTAAGCAACCAGCCTAGCCTTCAACCAACCAGCTTGTAGTTTTGGCATGTTTTGGCTGAGGTGGATCATATTATAATATTCTTTCCCTATACGATAATATATTATAATATTCTTTCCCTGGTGCCAGCCCCCAGGTTCAGTCCAGGGGCCGCGCTCATGGGTTCCTCATCTTGCATAGCGCGGCGGAGGTGTGCTGGGGTGGAGCCTGAGCCGAAAAAAACATAGGACGAATGATCCTGAAAAAGGGATCCAAAAATGTTTAAAAAGGATGCAAAACCAGGGTTACTGGGTTAGTACATATTACTATAGGGATGTATCCCAAATTTCAGGAATTGTGATGAAAAAAATGTGGGCCCTAGATTTGATCTGCGCTGATGTGAATGTGCAGAATCTGGAAGCAGAGACACCCCATGGGAACCCATGGGAGCCATGATGAAAAATTCTACCCTTGGTATGTCTGGTGACCCCATGTATACATCCACTACGTGTCATGGATGTCATGGCTAAGCAAAAACATATTGTATACCACAAAAATGAATGTCGTTTCTTTGGCTGAAGTTGACTTGCAACAATCCCTAGGTCGAGTTTTACATTGGCAATTCTTGGTACAATCCATTCTTTGGGTATCCTACAGGATGACCTTTGGACACCGGTACCATCCTGTACTCATGTCATCTAAAAATCTAGATACTCTCGGGTAATTCACAGAGCCATGGAAAATTGCCAATTGATAGAACGTCTACCTTCTATAAAAATGTGATTTTCCATAGCCTCCATAGCTATGTTAAATTACTAGCGGGTATTGTCACGCAGCATGGGAACACAATATCCGAAGAGTCCCGCATTGGGATCAAGTATCTTCTAGGTAGATAATTTGTTTAAAACTATATCCTACGATAGACCGTGAATTCACCCACAAATAGTATGTTACCCACAAACATGATGTTTACATGATGTTTACATTTTTTTTTACAACATATCGTCTAGAAATCGAAAACGAAAGAAGCGCTATAGACAATTGGCAATCGATGACCTGCCACGGAGAAATTGATCACATTCGGTAAAAATATGGCCGTTTTTTCTTGGTGAATCCCCACTTTTTTCTGGTGAAATTTTGCCACGAGAGGATCGATGTATTTCTGTTACCAAGTCACTTGGAGACAGCTTGGTGAATGATGATCATTCAGACAGAACAAAAAGGCAAAAGCACTAGTGAAATACAGGTGTGAAACAAATTTCTGACGAATCAAAAGTGGATCTTAAGCAGATACAATCATTTGATATAATGTGCATCGACACACAAAATACGGTAGATTGGGGTTGTTTCTGGGAACATCATGGATCATTTTCTTCCACCCCTCCTGCAAGCCCAGCTGACTTGGTCGATTCAAATATCCATTGGATGGTTGCTGTATCTTCCCTGTTGGATCTTCGTAGTTCTCTAATGGGAAACCAGAATCACAAATCTCAAATTTTGGGTAAGCATCATTTTCCACCACTAAAATTATTGTTATCAAAGAAACATACAGTATAGACAGTATACCATGAAATATACAAATCTTGCCCAGTAACAGATCATGAAAAATTGCGTAAATGTAAAGAAAACAAGCCAAATCCTTGGTTTTAACCAAATTTAGCTATCTAAATCCCACCAACAAAAACCATGGATTCCCAGTAAATCCCATGAAATCACTATGACTTTGGAGATAAACAAAGTCACCATGGAATGCCAGGCCGACGAAGCGCTGAATGTCTTGGGAGGTGGGTGTCGAAACGCCGCCGGAATCTGACGGGTTGCAGGGACGTCATTTCACCAGATGTGGCTGTTTTGTGGATTGATATGGATTGGTTGTTGGATGGTCAGACTGTTTGGTGTTTTTGGAGGACTTAAAAGTGCTGTCCGTGAATTTGTCTATTTGAAAACATAAACATATATATATAATGGGTTGGATGTTCAATTATCATAGAGAAACGATAAACGGAGGACTATATATACTTCTCTTGCAACCAATGCCTTTGTTTTTTGCTGCATCTGAGATTAAGGTTAGCAATATATGAGCGATGATTGTTTGAGAACAGGCAAGATGATCAGGGGCCGTTTCAATCCCGGAGGATGTCTGGGTCCCAGGATCAGTAGCCTCTCATTATTAGAGGTAGTACTAAGTTTTGTACTTAATTTCCAGTAGTATCGCACAAGGCGGTAGCGGAAGTTTCAAAAATAGGAAACCTATAGGAGAGGTTGGTCGTTGTGAATCACGGATGGCAGAGCGAATCCACTGATGGACCGAAAGGTGGTTGAAGCTGTGTGTTTTGGAGTGGTTGCAATGGTTGCAGTGGTCACCTTACCCACAACTGCTGGATGTAGTGTGGTGTAGTGCAGTTGTAGTTGTAGTTGTAGTGTGGTGTAGTGGAGTTGTAGTTGTAATGTGTAATAAGTGTAATGTAGTTGCAGTTGCAGTTGTAGTTGTGGTGCGGTGTAATTAGTGTAGTGTATTGTAGTGTACTGTAGTGTGGTATAGTCGGTATAGTGTAGCGTAGTCTAGTGTAGTGTAGTGTAAGGTAGTGTAGTTGTAGTTGTACTGTGGTGTAGTTTAATTAGTGTAGTGTCGTGTAGTGCAATTTAGTGGTAGTTACAATTGTAGTTGCAGTTGCAGCTGTAGTTGCAGTTGGAGCGTAATGTAATGTAATTAGTGTAGTGTTGTGTTGTGTAATGTAGTTGTAGTTGTAGTTGTATTTGTATTTGTAGCATGCTGCAGTGTAATTAGTAATTAGTGCAGTGTAGTGTAGCGCAGTGTAGTTGATACTGTTGTTGTAGCTGTGGTCGTAGTAGTTGTTGTAGTTGCGGTGCAATTAGTGTAGTGTAGTGTAATTAGATGTACTTAGTGTAGTAATGTAGCGTAGTTTATGATTTGTAGTTGTGGTAGTAGTGTAGTGTAGTGGTAGTGGTAAGAAGAGTAGTAGTAGTAGCAGTAGTAGTAGTAGTAGCAGCAGTAGTAGTAGTAGTAGTTGTAGTTGTCTATCTATCTATCTATCTATCTATCTATCTATCTATCTATCTATCTGCAATCCATGAGATACCCCAATCATGTGTTCTTGTCGGTCGTTTTGGGTGGTTTTGGAAAAAGACCCTTGTAGTATTCTAGAAACCACTAATTATACATACTGGTTCAGTTCTTACTTTTTGTTGTCATCATCTCGCAAGACATAGTATCGCTTGCTCATGATGTAAGATTATCCAAGTAAATCTTTGCAATAATCTCAGCGATGTGTCACATTACCGAGTAACTTCATACCTATAAAATAAAACAAGTTTTTTTAAAAAAAAAACAAATCTAATAATAAATTTTAAAATCATGATCTAAAACATATATATATAGTTATATATATATATATATTTATTTATTTAAAATAATGATTACTCAGTAATATTATACTCGTACCTTTATATAAAATAATCTGATCTTTTTTGGTGGTTGCTATGCTGCTAATGATAGTCGTTTTCTCTCCGGGGTCAGACCGACCATGGAAGCTACCAGGGGCTGTCCCACACGCAGCTGCCAGCACCATCGTGGGAGGCCGAAACGGGGGAGTTCGTTGGGAAATCCGAAAAATGCCACATGTTTTGCAGATAATCTGGACTAGAAATCATGGAATTTACCCTCTGGTAAACTAACATAACTATGGAAAATCACAATTTTTCATGGGACAATTCACTATAAATGGTGATTTTGCATAGTTATGTTAAATTACCAGAGGGTATGAAAAATTTTGAAAACATCATCTGGACTATAGCAACCTCAAAATAGATAATTAGAACAGTTGGAGACTTGTAAATATCCGGTAATCAGCTCCATGGCTGGCTGGAAAATAGTTTTTATAGGTGTCGATTTTCCCACCATCTATTTTGATCGTTATTTTTGCCGTTGCCGCGTTTGATTTACCGGAGGGTAATCTGGATTATAGCAACCTCAAAATAGAGAGAACATTTGGAAACCTGGACATATGAGGGAAATGTATATATATATATATAATGTGTATAATATATATATATATACATATATATATGTAGTATACATATTTTTTACTATATACACATAAACATCATCTATCTCTACCATTCCGGAAACACAACTTTCGGCATCTTTTGGGGGTACCAACTGAGCATCGCATCCCACGTCCCAGGATGAATACCAGCTGCAACGGTCCATTGGCAATGGATCCTTTGGCCAAGTCTACCTGGTTCTGCACAAAGAGGACACTGGTTCTACACAGCGCTCCGCTGGATGCCCGAAACAGAAACTGGTTGAAGTTCTCGGGGCTTTGATTTATTATGTTGAAGTCATAACATTTCGTTGAATTTATCTTGGGTTTGGCTGATTGTATGATATTCTGATATTCTATGGCTGAATTCATCTGATTTTGGTTGGTTGTAGTGTTTGAATTTGGGTGCTTGAGCCCGTAAGATGTTCTGTATTTTGATTCTTTGTGACTGGACGGAACAGTCGCATGCGAAGAGGGTATATAGGTAGATAGATTCTAGATCCTTAATTCAGCAAAATTGTCATCTTGAAATGAAACTGAGAAATCCGTAGATGTCAAATGTTCATGATGAACCATGTTCATTCCAAGATGACATCAATTTTCACCATGAAATCATGTTCAAAAAATGGTCCAATCCCCCATGGTTTTGACCCAGTGATTTGATCCTCAAATTTTCAAGATCTGATCCTTCGAAGATTTGCCCCGGAGGAGCAGCGCGAGTATGTCATGAAGAGCATCGAGCTCCAAACTGTCCGGGGCCGCCAGGATTTCAAGAGGGATTTTTTCGACAGCAAAATTCATCCCAATCGGATTTCAGCGGCAAAAATCAGGATTTCTGCCAAATCAGTTCACAGTTATCAACTGATTTCTGCGCAAGGAAAATCAACAAAGTCATCTCCTAATCTATAGGAGTGAACTTCGACTCAGTGGTTTTTCCCCAAGGCCTCGGATGAAGGTCGTCAGCAGATGGAACTGGAGGCACCGCACGGAGGATTTGATCCACGATGGTTTTTGGGTCAACATCCGGCCGGAGGTTTCCTAAGTCATAGGGGTACCCCATACCAGGGGTAGCTGGAGAGTTTATTTCATGGAAAATCCATCTATACATGGATGATTTAGATGGGGTAGCCCTATGACTTAGGAAACCTCCATATGGGATCATGGGAATTCATGTGGATGGGATATGTTTCAGCAACATAATGGAACATAGAGGTATAAGATGGATTAATATGGTATAACTAAAGCGGATGGCAAAATTTCATGGAACTACCAAAATGATCCAAAAATGTTGAAACTCCATACTTAGCTAAGTTGCTGGGTGATGCAAATATCAAAGGGTCATAGTGGAATCTGCTCCAAAGCTACAATCATCTACAAACTAGATTGGATCATGCTCCAATCAAGAAATTACTAAGAGCTGGGCATGCCACGCACATGAAATCACATTGTCACATCATGTTGACAAACTCAAAAGGTCCAGTGTTTTTTTGGGAAATGGTTTTTGTTTAATATCCGATTCAGGTTCATCCCCATCTTCTCTGGGTTAGCATGAAGTCTTGGCACTTGATGTGATGTTGGTTTGTAAACCCCATGGAACTCCATAGTGAAACCCTAATTTGGTTGGTGGTTTGGAACCATGGAATTTTATGACTTTCCATATATTGGGAATAATCCCAACTGACTCATATTTTTCAAGATGGTTCAAACCACCAACCAGTTAATGGTTAATCTAAGTATCATAACATGACAGACATAGTTTGTTGCTATGTTTATGGTTTATAGCACCACAAACATCCACCATTAGTTCACCTACTGATGAAGGAACAACTGGCTATTGTAAACGCGTTTCCCCACCTTGAAAAAATCATCAGAAACGCCTGTTTCGCGGGCAGGTGCAACTGCCGGATCACTCAGAGCGCTGATGGTTTTGTTTGGGGTATTGTAAGCCCCAAAAGATAGAAGGTGGTGAAATCCTACTAAGATAGTGGCAGTCAACTTTTGTCTTTTGCTTGAGGTAATGCTGCAAGTATTGGCAAGATAGTATATAGGCTCACGATATACTAATCTATACTGCCCATACTGCTAATTAGATTAATGGTAATTATCGATTCTTCCATCCGACAAACGGGCGGTGGAAAGAAGTTTTAATTCACTTGCGAACTTGAAATGAACATCCCAAAGAAATCGTTGCGGTCAGATATCATAGTCAATGCCAATAGTATGTTCCAAGAAACTTTCACAACAGGCAGAATTTCTTTAGTCTCCCAACATGCTGTGACCCCGGGTCCGAGGCTATTCTTGGGTGTCCTTGCGCTTGAAACATGATTCTGTCGGACTGCCAATAGCCCCAATCGTCGTAGGTTGTGAATCAAATTCCTGGTAGCCTGCTTGGTTTGGGATTAAAAGGATGTAGACATCCCCTCCATTCATAGCCCATCATTATGGGAAAGTAACCGGCTTTTGACCCCCCGAACAGAGTTTTTGATTTGCCCCAGATCGTCCAACAAACTTGTTGTCAGCCGGTGACCTCAAAGTGAACTGAGCCATGAAAACAATACCACTGGTTGATCCTGGTTGGTTGAGAACGAGATTCCCAATTCATGGAGTATTCGATAATCGCCAACAAACATCAACAAAGAAGGTCAAATAATAATCTCCCCTGTACTAAGCAATCAGCAATAATATGTTTATTGTTTTTCATAGCTTGTCATGGCTTATATATCGTCAATAATTATAATGATTATATATACAATGATATTTATATATATATATATCCCGTATATATTTCATCAATGATCATCAAATATCATCAGTATATCCATGTTTAGATGGTTCTATCCCAAAAAATATCCCATGGAAAATCCCGTTTTCCACTTAAGCTCCTCCCCTTTTTTCAAAGAAACGCCTCACCGTTGGACCGAGGTTGAAGAGCATGCAGCATCCCAACATCGTGGCCTATCGCGAGAGTTTCGTGGATGACAGCGGGCACTTGTGCATCTTCATGGAGTATTGTGAGCGCGGACACCCGCGGAAGTCCGCGGTTGGTGAGCAACAGGTGGATTTACCCGGCCTGGTAAACATACAAAAAGCGAACTGGAAAATCACCATTTATGGTGAATTTTCCCATGAAAAATTGTAATTTTCCATCGTTATGTTAGTTTACCAGAGGGTAACGGATTTATGGTCGATATATCGATGTAGTTCATCTTAGTTAACGGATTTTTGAACCAACATACACCAACTATCACCAAATAACATGTCACAAAAAACCAGAGTTATATAAAATAACGGTGGTGTTTTCATGCTTTTATCCTGGATAAAGATATTAAATTCAGTGTGGCTGATCCATGGGTTATCCCATGCCATAATGGGTTGATGTGTCGTGTTGCTGCTGAAGGAAGCTTGATTCAGTGGGATGACCATGATGACCAATGTTACAACCTGCAGCTCCCATGTGAAATGTTCGTTGGTGTATGTTGGTTTAAAAAAACATTAACTACAATATGAGGCCCCCCAGTTATAAACTGGTTTATAAGCCCCAGTAACTATAGTTAAAAATACCATAAACCATAGTTATTGGACTTATAAACCAACTTAGCTATCTTGGGGGCCTCACATTGTAAGATGATCTAATATGTACTACATGACTACAAACAGCAAAATTACTGGGATAGTCTTGGCACAAAATTGATGGGATAGTCTTGGGTCGGAATGCTTTCACGGACCACTTAATGTATGAGTGTATCCTATCCAAAATCAGGGGGGCCACCTAGTTTTAAGTTGCTTTACAACCCCCATGCATACTATAGTGACATATATATATATATATATATCTATTTGCTATATATATATATACATACTAAAGTTTTTGGAGTTATGTTTACCAACTGAGCCATCCTTAAATCCCATTGAGTCTATGAACCCCCATAAAATCCATGTTAAGCCGGGACCAAGAGACCAAGAGCTCCAGGCTTCCCCTTTTCTGGTTCGTGACATCACCATTTCTGTTGGTCATAGCCGTGGGAAATGGCCCATTTATAGAGCTTTACCTATTAAGAATTGTGATTTTCCATGGCTATGTTAAAGAACCAGATGGTAAATCCTGCGAAATCCCGAGTTTTCATGGCCATTTTCCATGAGGCATGGGGATATCTTCTCCTACTTGCAAGACTTGCGACGTACGCCGGGGCACCCAGAGGTTAGGGATCGACCCTGGGGCAGGAGCCGGTTATGGAGTGTCCAATACTGAGAGCCAAGATATCCTTCAAAATTGGGGAAATTGCATGGAATGTGTTTCACTTAGCATACTGTAGTTACTGTAGTTTGATTTGGTGCTTCAAGGTAGCAGGTTATTAGGAATTGCAGCAAAGAACACGTAGAACGAGCCTTAGACCCCTAACAATTTGTTTCCTTAATATACTGTACATATTATGTATGTATGTATATATATATATAAATAAATAAATATATATATATACATATAGAGAGAGATCCGTGTTGTTGTGGTTGTTTCTCTCACTTTTATATCCCCTTGAGTCTGCACCTTCTTTCACCCTCTTGCTATGACAAATATCAAACCCAGATTAATAGACATTAATTTCTGGTTGATGGTTTGCAGCGTTTTTTTATTTTTCCATACATTGGGAATAATAATCCCAACTGATCAATATGTTTGAGAGGGGTTCAAACCACCAACCAGATTTGATGGGGTTTAGGGCCTGTGTACGGTTTATGCCGCCGACAACAAGTGAAAATATGGCAAACCTGGACTTTAGGATCCTGATGTTTTCATGTTTTCCTTGAGGTTACCCCCCAAAACCATGATATCAATGATGATTTGCTACTAATCTATGGTACCCAGCCTGATTAACCAGCCCCCTTTGTTCTGGGGTTGACATCCATGGTTCTATCTGCACCACCTGGATGTGTGTCTCAGCTGGGAGAGACATATCCATGGTTAGTTCACATCGATTTTCGTTGGAGCTTTAGCAACTAACCATGGATATTGGAAATCAAGGCCACACGGCCACACATGTGGTCTCTTCCACTAGAGGATAGCCCAAGTTTAGAAGTTGCAAAACATGTTCACCACATATATTATATATATATTTATAATTATATATACCAATTCTTGACGATGATATCTACATACTTTAAACCTAGTCTGGTTGGTGGTTTGGAACATGAATTTTATAACTTTCCCATCATATTGGGAATGTCATCATCCCAACTGACGTTCACTCCATCATTTTTCAGCGGGGTGGCGAAAAACCACCAACCAGATTAGTATTAACCATCATTAACCATATATATACATATAATAACCATTAATATTAACCATTATTAACAGTATATTAACAGTATATTAACCACCAACCACTTCGTTTTTTTTCGCCATGGAACCCATGGAGCCCGTCCAGAGGCAGATGCCCTCCGAAGCTCAACTCCTGGAATGGTTCACGCAGATTGTGTGGGTGCGCGGCGGCTGGGATGACATTAGGACAGCAACGAGGTAACCTGGGTCACCGGGGTGCTAAGCCCAGTAATATGGAGGAGTGATTCTATGGTGAACTAAGCAATGGTTACTATGAGGCTATCATTCCAGAGATAGCTTTAACTTCATTTATAAGTTGGTGAACTATGATGGCTAAGGATTTCTAGGGGGAATCACCTTATTGATCGAGTCTAATGACGAAAAATAAGGTTTTACACCGTGAGATTACGGGGTACAGTGGCACATGCCTATTTTGAGCAAAAAACTTTGACGGGGTTTACCAGGGCCTCACCATAGATGGTCAGTACACAATTGGAACCCGCCCAAAGTTCTCAATTTTTGCTCCACGAAACGGATGGTTTACTACTCAACTGATCCTTTACTTAACTGATGGGCCCACTTGTGGGTCCATAGATGGTATATGACCTGTTTGGGTCGCCAGAGCTAGATGTAATTATGATGCACAATTATCAATTTTGGTAGGTTCGATAAATTAAGTGATCATATAGTTTTGATAGTATCCCACTATTTTTGGTCAAAACAAGTTTCCTAAATTACACATTTATCCCAGTTTGAACGAAAGGGGCACTGGGCACTGTCGCTTTTCCTTGCCCTGCTCGCAAGCTGTTTGGACTTGTGCATGGTGTTTTTGGTGCTGGCAAAACACGGGCCATGGCAGTCGTTTTGGTGGCTCTGTCCATCGTTTTTTTCTACGCTCCAGGCCGTTGTCTTGACGAGAATGTGGCTGCCAAGGTTATCAACGGATGAAGGGAAATTATATACCGGACACCACCATATTTGGTGGATTTTCCTTAAATCAGTTGACCATATAGATTCCATACGTACATAGTATTGTGTATACAGTATACATGTATAATAATATATTGTGTATACAGTATACATGTACAATACACAATAGGCCATATGGCATTGGTACCTCAAATTACGGTACTCCGCCATTCAATCCCATGGTTTAAAGCCTGATTTTCCCTGTTATTTATTTTGCCACAACTTGGGGACAAATCACTTATTTTTAGACAAGTCCAAGTCAATCCAAGATCATGTTGGTGTTATATTATTGTCATGCATCGCATTATGTCTCCACTACGGGAAAAAATATCTCGGTATATCCCACATATTGTATCACCATGATTATATCACCAATAGTATATCCCATTATAGTATATCCTCCACTGTATATTTAAGGCTTGGGGCTTGGAACCCTTTTTTGTTTGCTCGCTGGCCAGGCCTTACAAGCGCTTCACCAGCAAAAGATCCTGTCCCTTGGGTCTGATCATTATTGAGTCTTAGATGACACGAAAAAAGCTGCGTACAGTCGTCTCCAATAGTTATGACCCTTTACCAGTTATATGTCACTTATAGCCCCATTTATAGAATGTATAATCCCATTTGTAACCATTTATAACTAACCATTTATAACAAACCATTTATAACTGGTAAAGGGCCATAACTGCATGTACAGCATTATATTAAACTACCCTCTATTTATTGGATAAAGCATAATTTTCATATATTTTCATCACGAACTAAATGGGCCATCTATACCGCTATTTTAAAGAACCAGAGGATATATCTTCAAGTATGCAAACCTCTGCCCAGTTTTTGTGGACTGCGAAACATCATCCTGGGTTTCGAAACTGACTCCCCTATGAGGGCCAGGGTGATGTTGAACATTTGGACCTTTCACAACCCTAGAACCTAGAAGAAAGAAAGGATCTTTCTCAAGTATTACATCTTTTGGCATTTTACTTGGGGTATTAATTGGATATAATATGATAGAATAATCACATGTATTTGGGCAAATTATAACGACCTCACTACGACCTCACTGCAATGATGGTTAATAAGGGGAAACATCCCAAAATGGCCCAACATTTCAGGTTAGTGAATTATTATAATTTGCCCATATATCCCATATATATATATATACTTGAAATCAAATTTGGTATTGACCCACATACAATATTATCAACCAAAACAGGCTATATAAATCCTTCGAACATTAATCTTGGTGGTTGAGCCAGAATCATGGCAAGATGTTGTAAACACAACCAACAAGAATAGTTATGGCCCGAAATACCAATTATAAATGGTGAAATCACTGGTTATCTATGGGATTATACATAAACCATAAAATTGGGTTTTGTTAGTTCAGCAACTATTACGTAACTTTCTAGTTTACGGGAGATATCCCTAAATTGATCCGATGAAAAACAGAACATGTTCTACAATTATGACCATTTATTAGTTATAACTGGTTGTACATGGGGTTATACATTCCATAAATGGGGTTATTTCAGTACTTATAACTAGTTAAGGTCCATAACTGTAACATGTTCTCACTAGTCCGTTGCGGACGACATTCCATTCCTGGGATGATCTCCGTCCGTTGGAGCTGTGAGGCATCGCGACTTGAAGACGCAAAATATCTTCTTGGCCGGCAGCAGGTGGAGCAGACTATTACCCTCTGGTAATGACTAACAGTTTGCTATTGAAAATGACCATAGAAATAGTGGATTTTCCCAGCTATAAATGGTGGTGATTTTCCATAGCTATGTTAGTTTACCAGAGGGTAGTATCCGTTACAGATGATTTCCATGATTATCCCTTCTTATTTGCATTTATTGTTGTCCATTATGCACCATTCTTAATTATTCAATTGGTTAACCTTTGGACCTTTGGGTGAACGAAGATTTGGGGGATATGTAGCTATACTATGCTATTTTTTTTTGGGGTTTATAAACAAATGGGGGACCTTACCTTAAAAGGCCACTTGATTATCTTAAGGAAAGGTCTGCAATGCAAGAAACCATCAGAAACCACTCTTGGCGTTGGAATTTTCAACCCAACAAGTCCCAATAAGATAGTGGCTGAGGGGTTTTCAATCAGTTAGTTAAATCACTTTCCAACCACTTTCGAGGCGATTGGTTGAGATGAATGATTTATTTTGTGGGGGACGAGATTGGCTAAAACATGTTAAAACCACCTACCAGGACCAATTATATATATATATATATATATATTGCAGTCTGTCTAAGATTGACTTAGCGATGCTGTTGTTGGATGTTGTCGCCCTCCCCGTTTGTTCCACTGTTATGTGTATAATATATAGATATATATTTCATACATCATCATTTTGACTGGTGATCCATAAGAATTGTAAGAATTTTTGGATATACAACTATTTGAAGGAATTATTTTCAGCCATACATTGCAGGAATAGAATGACACCTGAAAATCCTTGGGTTGTAAATCGGAGAACGCCACAGTACTCAGCTAGAATGGTATAGTAACCTGCTAAAGGATGGAAACGCTTCAATTTGCAACGATGTTGGTGTCTCTTTTGAACCAAATTCTATATTTTGGGTGTTTGCCATAGATCCATAGTTACCAAGTACTCGTTATTATTGTCAGTTACAGATTATCAATGATTATCCCTTCTTATGTATTTGCCTTCATTTTTTGTCCAGTATTCACCATTCTTAACTACTCATTCTTAAACTATCCACTTCCACTATTGTCCAGTAGCCATCATTACCCGTTCTTCTTGCTGATTATGCATTATTAGCCGATATTGTCCATGTATTATCGATTCATAGTCCATTATAAGGTGGGGCCTCAAAGTTAGTTGGTTGGATGTTTCTCCCCACTATCCAGTTCGATATATGTGCCATAAACCATAGGCATTGAAGTTGTAAACTAACTTAGCTATCTACTGGGGTCTACTGGAGCCCCTCTTTGTAGTTAATTTCGGGGGACATCTCAGATTTTGTTTGTGTGATTCGATTTTCATTTCTGGTTTGATTTGATAGATCAAGATATAACGACCTCACTGCAACCTCACTGAAATGATGGTGAATATATGGCTAACTATCTCAACATAGCCTTCAACATACATCAGGTAAGCAAATAATTTCACATGAGATATATATATATTATATGATATTTGCCCAGATATATTTTCCATTGTCCATATCCATTGCATTTATGGTTTCACATCCCCATTCCAATTTGGAGCCTCTGCTGGCCCTGGCAGAGGCAGCAGTTGGCCGCAAAGTTGGGCGACTTTGGCGTGGCAAAGGTGTGGCGACAAACGACGAGGATCAACTGTGTGAAATTGGCAAACTGACCACATGGCAAGATTAGGCTACCCTTTGGTTATGACTAACATAGCTATTGAAAATGGCCATAGAAAATTCGTTGAATTACCCAAGAAACATCGTGATTTTCCATAGTTTGTTGTATGTTTATTGGAGGCTAATGTATTAGTTCATGTGGTAAACCAATATCACCATCCCCAAGGCATCTAATGATATTTGGGAATTATAATGCCCCAATTCACAGGTTGGCTAGCTAGATCCAGCAACAATCATGAGAATTCGCCAACTTTCCCAAAAGAACTTAGACGGAAGTTGTAGTTGAAGACTTCGTTGACTTCGTTGGTCTCGCCAGAAAGAAACGAGCAGAAATGACATGAAATGGAGTATTTTGAGTAATTGTTGGGAACATGGGGTACCTACCTCTCAATTTGACGGTTTACGATAATTGTCCTCATTCAAATTGCAAGCAATTGCGGGATTAATCACCAATCTTCAGACAACAATAATCATACCAAAGTGTCGCTTATGTATTCGTTATATTTCCACTATTGTTTAGTTTATACCACCATGTTTCCTAGATAAACTGCTTTAGATCCATATATGATCATATATGTTCCATAATTAGACATAAATCTCATTAAAAACCATAGACGATGTTTTCTGTTGTGAAATTCCTTCACATCGATCCATTTTTTTGCTGGTTGAGTTAAAATCCCAGCACTCTTGGGTCAGACGCAGGTGTTGTCTTCCACAGTTGACTTGGCCAAGACGTGCCTGGGTGTGGGGAGATGTGGGCAGATAGAGAGACGGGACCCTATCAAGTACATAACGTACATAGCATGTATATATAATATAATATAATATAATATAATATAATATAATGTAATGTAATGTAATGTAATGTAATATAATATAATATAATATAATGTAATGTAATATAATATAATATATAATATAGTATAATATAATATATAATATAATAAAATATATAATATAATATAATATAATGTAACATAATATAATATAATATATTATATTATATTATATATACATACAATTATATATATACACATAATATATATATATATACATACATATATTTATTAGATGAAATATCAAAATTTGCAATCCAAGAGCATAACATGGGAATCTATATTGACAATTCTGAATTCTATCTACTTCAGCATGAATAATATGTGTATATATATACACGTGATTTCACATGTGACAACCCTATGATATGCAACCTGAAATGTACATATTATGGAGTAGGGGGTAGTTAGTGAAGTTGATAGGAAACTACCAAAAAAAAGTGGCAATTCGAAGATGTCACTATTAGTGGTCACAGGCTATGTCTAATATATATATATATATACATACATATATATATATATATATACATACACATGCAGAGTCTTCCATAGAATACTTGATAGCTCAGTCAGTTATATGCAACATGATTTGTAGCTTTGTCCATTTGTGCAGGGTTTCATTGGGTTGTACTCCTAATGATCTCTTAATTACACCCTTCAGACGCAGTTTTGATGCACATTTCTGCATGGATTCCTTCCAATACAGAGTAGTTCTATCCAAAATAGGATTGAGATCAATGTTCTATATCCATGTTGTTTGAAACTTCTGGATATGTCTGGGCAAATTATAACGACCTCACTGCGACCTCACTGAAATCATGGTTCATAAGGGGAATCATCCCAAAATGGCCCAACATTTCAGGTTAGTGAATTAGTTTCATTTGCCCAGACACATAGGTCTAGAATGGGGTTTATAGGAAACATTCAAGTTCAATGAAACACTTTTTATTAAAGAGACACATAGGATTTTTGAGTGAGGTATCAGCATTAATCACCATTAAATCACCATTAAATCACCATTTCCCCACTCTTTAAGGTCATCACACCTCCGACTTTCAATGCTTTGATACCTGGGTAGCAGCTACGAAAAATCACCAGTGATGCCTTGGACTTGCCTGGCGCAAGCGGGTGCCTGGTGATTTCTATGGTGATTTAATGGTGATTAATGGTGATTAATGGTGATTTAATGGTGATTTAATTGTTATAACTGGTTATAACTGTTCAATTTTTCCATGGGATGAAATCCATAAACCATTTTATTAATGGGCTTTTGTTAGTAGTAAAAAATCATAGTTATATCTGGTATTTCTGGCCATAACTGTACAAAATCGTCCAGCTGTCATATCTCGCGATTTCAATCACTCTGGTGGTACCTACGTGCTACGACAAATCACCAAAGTTCCTCTCATTTATAGCAAAGTTTGGTAATTTTCCACATCTATAGCATAGCAAAGTGTAATAGATGACCAGAAGATACAGAAATACCGTCTATTTCCAGCCTCTTGGGACATATGGACATGAAATTCTACAATGATAAACAGTTGTTTTAGTGAGTTGTGGAAATGGTTCATGAGGCCTGTTTAACACGTGCAACAGCATGTTTACCACTTGTTAACTCATAACTTCAAGGCGTTCATGAATGCTGTGGCGGTGAGGCAAATCGGCACACCTTTCTACATGTCTCCGGTCATGGGCTTAGTTACGACCTATCAGCACATAGCCTGTGGGCGAAGCGGCTAAGCTAATCCCATCCCCAGTTTCTTCGTCCGGGCCCCAACCATATTCGGGGGATGGAATTAGTTTAGGATTCTTGGGATTGCGAAGTGGGTGTTGGACGGGTAAAGATGTTCAGAAAAATATCTGTGGCTCCTGTTTAAAATCCTTTCTTATCCTACTCGCAATTGGTTTGCAACCATGATGATACTGAAGATTGCCATTTATACTGATTTATACTTGATTTTCCTATTAAAAAAATAGCGGGTTTCCATACGTAGTTATATTAGTTTACCAGATGGCAGTCAGACTGGGAAGGTTCACAGCCAAGTAGATGTCCCAGCTGTCGTGTGTCAGGAACTCATCAACAGCCATCCCTACAGCTACAAAAGTCCGGAATCTCAGTAATCTCCATAGAGTTCTGGCCCGAGTTATACCAGTGATGTATGTACTGAAGCCCATAAAAATGGTTTCTGTATTTCATCCCGTAGATTCATAACCAGTTATAAGTTATAACTATTAGCCATGGCCAGAACTGTAATTGTTTCAGTATTTGGAACAGCTGCAAAAAATAAACCTAGCAGAAATCCCTTGAAAAAGCTAATTGGGTGGTGAAATTTGGGTAGCTCAATGGATAGTTCAGCTAAACGCATACTAATATCATCTACAATGTGAGGGCCCCCGGCCACGATAGCGTTCAGTTGGTGCGTTGAAAACTCAAATTTCACAAAATGGTTTATGGTATTCATAACTACAATGTGAGGCCCCCCCAGTTATAAATTGGTTTAGATTCGCCCCAGTAACTATAGTTATAAATACCATAGACCATAGTTATTGGACTTATCTTGGGGGCCTCACATTGTAACTATAGTTACTGGCTACTGGGGCTTTCGTTAACCAACCTTCACATCACGTTTAGGGGCCTCACATTGATAGTATCTGTGATGGCCTGGAGCAATGTTCCATAGAGTTATGGCCAGAAATACTAATAGAAATACCAGTTATAACTACGAACAAAACCTCATTTTTTTAGACTCATTTTAGACTGTATAATCCCAGTTATAACCAGTTGTAACCAGTTATAACTAATAGCCATGGCCATCACTGTAGCAAACCATTATTTATGGGGGCCTTTATCCTGAAATATGCGGCTGTGCGGTTTATGTCACAAGTCCACGCCGCAATGGTTCACAACATATGTATCCCTACATCCAACATGTTCAATGCATAAATCCCACTAAATGCCATTGAATCACCACTAATTCTCATTAAATCACCATTAATTCCAAATTAAATACCATAAAGCCCATGAGCTACCATGAAAGACCATGAAATACCATTGAAGTATGTAACTCAACCACACTAAATCCCATCAATTCCCATTAGGTCCGCCATGGCATTTGTTTCGCCGCTGAAAAGGTGACGTTTGGGGCCTTGGCTGCGTCCTCTACGAGATCATCAACGGCCATCGCGTTTGGGGCGCAGTATCCGCGATGCGATTTGCCACAGGATGACAAAAGGGGAAGATGATGCGTGAAATCATGGTTTCAGAACAGTGGTTTATATTAATGGTTTATATATGTTTATATGTATATCTGGTTGGTGGTTTGGAACATGAATTTTATGACTTTCCATTCAGTTGGGAATGTCATCATCCCAACTGACTTTCATATTTTTCAGAGGGATTGACACCACCAACCAGTATATGTTATAATTGGTTAGTATTGATAAGTTTGCGTAAATTGTCATAAATATATTGGTTTTTATTCGTTAAATAATCATCCATCATCTTTCATAACGTGTTTAAGAATGGATCAAATTACAGAATAATTGTTTAATAAGTGGATACATAATGGTTTTGTTGGTAAATGTTTTGTTTATGGGTAGAGAATGACAGAATGGTTAAATGATGGCTATTCTATTTCTACAGCATGTATTTGTTTTTTCTGTAGGTTTCTCTGCGTTTCCGGAATCGGATTTTTGGTCATTCTTACTGAACCACTGCGAAGTTGGAGGAAGGATTTGAAATTGGGATCCATGGTTTGTACAGTTTTAGCGGATAACTGGTGATTAATGGCGATTCATGGTGATTATTAGTGGTTAATAGTGGCTAAACATGTGATTAATCATGGTTATAACTGGTGCATTCAATTGGATGAAACATGGCATTTTTATGGGCTTAGTTCAGTGCTTATAACTGGGATTTCGGGCCATAACTTTCTGTAGCGTTTTTCCTTTTCGTGTCATCCCGGGGCTCCAGATCTCCATCTCACCGGATCAAAAGCTACTTGAAAGAAACCTGAACAGATAACTTTTGGGGGATTTAATGGGATTTAATGGGATTTAATGGGATTTAATTAATGGGATTTAATGGGATTTAATGGGATTTAATGGGATTTAATGGGGATTTAATGGGATTTAATTAATGGGATTTAATGGGATTTAATGGGGATTTATAGGGATTTATAGGGATTTAATGGGATTTAATGGGGATTTATAGGGATTTAATGGGGATTTATAGGGATTTATAGGGATTTAATGGGATTTAATGGGCATTTAATGGGATTTAATGGTGATTTATAGGGATTTATAGGGATTTAATGGGATTTAATGGGATTTAATGGGGATTTAATGGGGATATCATGGATAATACCCTCTGGTGAACATACAAAAAGCTATTGAAAATGGCCCAGTCGAAATAGTGGATTTTCCCAGCTATAAAATGGGTGGTGATTTTCCATTGCTATGTAAACGTTCACCAGAGGGTAGCTTTTGGGGGATGGATAAAAGTTATCTAATCTCAAAAGTGAGATACACCAATATTATCTCCAATTATTTGGTGAGGATTAGATATCTCCTACTTTAACATCCAAAAAGTGAGATATCTAATCCTCACCAAATAATTATTGATGAAAACCTACTTTTTTGCGACTAAAAAAAAACATATTTGGTTCGGATGAGCGTTTTATTTAACAGCTAATTGGAGGCTCACCAGGGTACCAGTGTTTTGACCGAACGCCATGACTAAGTCATCCTGCTATCTCTGACAGCGTTGCAAGATTGTAAACAAAACTGAAAAAGGTTGGATCAGTCCAGTAGTGTATTTTGGATTCCTTAGTTTTAAGATTGAATTTGATCAACATATTGTCAGATCTTGGCAAAATTTTAGCGCCTTGCCAACGAAATCACTGCCAGATGGTGGTATGTATGTGGGGCATCATCGCCTAAAATGCGATTAGTCATATTTGAGAACGCATGTACAACACGGAAGGAACGTTGCTACCGTTCATGTTGATCGCTTGGTTTGCAAACCAGTACTCCACAAGGAACAGTATACCAATTGATGTTGTCACCTTGTTTCGGGGTTGGTTCGCCGTCAGTCCTGCTGGCCAGTTGATGTATAACTTACTGTAGATGACTAGAGTTAGTGGGGGAAATATATCCATAATGAATGGCGTTTACCAACCAACTTATAACTGGGTGGTGCACCTTGTATGCGGGTATCGATCAACATTACAAACTCACCAAAACGGGAGTTTTATATTCAAAATGTGTTCAATGACTTGCCGTTGTTTCACCAATAATTACAATTTTCCTGGGTTTTCACCATCATGCATGTGCACAATCATTATCTAAGATTGCATAGCTAGGTATACTATACCTCCTTAAAAAAAAAAAAAACTACCAGGTGGCATTTTGCAGCGCAAGCGCATCCAGGTTTCATTTGTTAAGCTTTATGGCTATTGTTCTGCTGGGAACATCATCAACCAGCAACGGTTGCAGTATCAACACGCTGTGTGTATATGCATATTTATTCATCTATATGATGATGATGCACAATTATGTATTATTTATGTATTTATGTGTTTTTTTCGCTAAATAGTATTCATTTGTGACAACCAACATATTTGTATATATGTATTGGTGATAATATATATATATAAATCATAAACACATATGTAATTATTTGTGTATTGTGTATATTGTACATATATATATATATATATATATCCCTATGGATCCAAGTACCTTAGGAAGTGTTTGGAATATAATTTACTATAATTTGGAGGCTTAATTAAGTGGCCATGGATCCATAGGGGATCCCATGGTACATGGTGACTCTGGCACTCTGGGGATCATGGAATCCATTTTAGTTTTTTTTCAAAGGGGGTCCCACGTCCCACGTAGCTATGGAAAAAATGACTTTTGAACATGTGATAGAATTGTGAAGAAATGTGAACAACATGTTTAAAATGTGAACAATGGAAAAAGGCAGTTGAACAGTTCATGTGTCTTAGCTTCATGTTTCCATTTTTTTTAGATATAGGCGTTTTTCACGTTTTCTTTGAAACCCAATGTTAAATTATAGACTATTAAACTTAAACTTAAACACTAGGATTCCACATAAGCATATTTATTTTCGATGAATCATGTCAATAGGTTCACAATGAATTAGGAAAAGTATTAAAACATGTAATTTCCTGTTTTTCCACATTTTTCACATTTTTGAAATGCATTTTTTCACATGTGTTTTTTCCAAACGCATATTTTCACATTTATTTCACATGTGTTCACATGTTTAATTAATCATTGTTTTCAAGCTTGTAGCTGGAAACGGCCATGATGAGTATAATTCGTAATATCACGCAGAATTACTTGTATACTGATGATTTTGAGTTGGTGGTTGCTAGTTGAGTGCGATAGGTCCAACGCTTTGTGTGGGTAAAGGGGAAGCTTCTCATCGGATAATCACTGATAATATTTTCACGTCTTACTGTGACACTACGAAAAGTTAGTTTTAAAAAAACAAGTTCGGGTGACCAATGCCAATACAAAACTCCCTGTTAATCTACCAAAATGATGCCATCTCCAGTTTATTTTTGGTACGAAGCAGTCAGTGAGCTCACTCTGTGGCCCGAACTCTGAGGTTTAGATCTCCACCTTGAAACGAGCGACTGCCAGGATTTCTGTAGCAGCATGTAGCAGTTGAAGAATGCAAGCTAACAATGAAAATCATGAATATCATTGAGTATCAAGAATATCATGAATACTTTCTGGCTGAAGTACAGGAAATCACAGTGAGGTCATTCAAATTCATCCAGTACATAATCTGTCATGTGTTTGGGAACTCAGATAACTCAGCTCCTTTGCCCCCCATGCAGCATGCAAAATAAGGAATGCAAAATGTGAAATATGAATACCCATTGCTCCGAACACCTCCCTCCCAACCACTGGGTAGGTAGTCTGGCATACTACTCCCAAGTTCCAGTTACTCCTCCAATGGTGCTTATCAACGAGATCTTGCATTCCCAAGAAAGGTACGAAGCATGTGCAGTTTGGTCCGCTTTCGAAGCATTCAATATGAAGGCAACATATTTCGGAACCAAGAAGCTCGGAAACTCGAAACCATAGAAATTCGCGGTTGTCTGACTCATTGCCACTGTTGGAAGGCACATATGGCTCACTTGGATGGCTAGTGGATTTTGCATTGCCTTGGACATTCTTTGTTGGTTGGCAATTGCCATCACGCTTTTACATGATATTATATGCATGATCTTTTCAGGCAACTTCACCCGAATAAACGCCTATATGAAGATATGTGCGCTAAAAAGGATTTCTGTGTATAGGCACCTTTTTTGCATGTTTGTAAATTTGTTCGGTTTATACTTGTATATACGAACAAGTATGTGCAGCACATGTGTACTTATATTTGAGTATATTTATGACGTATCATGCCGATTGCACATATAGATTCATGTATATAGCATCTGTGCTGACCTGCATGATGTTTTTGAACAAACTGCATGGTGTTAATTTCATGTGTATGTATATGTATATTTATCTATCTATACATATATATATATGTATATCCAAATTTCATTCACCGTATATTCAGATACCATTTATCTATGATATATGTCAATATGTTGATACGCCATCAATTGAGACAATATTCAAACCTGCCTTTCTACCAATGCACCTTTTCCAAGGAAGGGAAACCTTAGGGATCCTCCCAGCTATTGCTTGGATATGGTTTTCCACCCGCAAGTTTTGGGGGGAAGATGGCGGGGCCCACACATCTCTACAGGCTTTTGCCCTATAATTAGCTAAGTCAATCAATTTTCCCGGGCCATGAGCCCAGGAGTCAAAATGGGAAAGTGCAAAATTTTACGGGCTAGGTCAAGCTGGCCCATTTTAGCCCCGTTCCATAAGCTTCAAAGATCGGCCCATGCATTGTGATGGTGCTCCAAGGCCTTTGATGCGCAGAGCTTGAATGGCCATGGACCAAGGAACAAAAAACCGGACCAAAGCTGGGCATATTCCGAAGGCATATGTCAAACAGAGCATGGACTTGATCATCTTGCCTTTGTTTCTATTGTCAAAAAATGAACCATACCCAATTCAACAGTGGATTCAGGGCTTAACAGGAACCACATCAACGGACAGGTTCTGCTTTGAAACAATTCAGCATGACCCTCAGCCTGTTTTGGCATGTTTGCAGACAAGATTATTATTGTTTTTTTGTGAGAACCACACCAACAGGTCCAACACCAATCGATCATTTTTGTTTCCAACAAACCTTGATTAATTGAAGCTGGATGCTAGCCGCTGTGCCACATAGTCATGGAAAGAAATGAATCATGACCATGCAACAAAATTGTGATATACAAGGCAAATGTTGTATTACGTTGTTTCCACCACAATTTGTTTAGTATGGTATTGTTGTTGTTTTTGAAAGAATTACAGCGTTATTTACATCCATGCACCGTCTGAACCAAGTGGGCGCAAAAAAATGATGGCCTGTTGTTTTTGCACGTTTGAACACTTATTGACGATACATGTTTGAAAACATATCAACCATGTCTTAACAGGCAGTCCCGAAACGAATCCTCAGATATGGGTTTGTGTGAAAATCCGGCACCCTAAAATTTGATAGTCGGTCATCATATTTCCCATTAAAATGACGATCAATCTCCATTTTCAGACAACCCCAAACATCAGATTGTTGCTTATATTCCAATCTATTTCCATTACGCCGTCATTACGCCCCTCCCTTTTTTGTCATTGGAATGTCCTAACAACAAAACCCCAGAAATTGAAGCCAAACAATGTGCCAAGCGCCACGGACGCCAAATCGTTCTCAGGGTTGGCCTTGAAAATCATCAAAGGCAGCTATACTCCCATCTCTGCAGGCAGGAGTTGCGGAAGAATGAGAGGAGGGAATCCACACGTTGATGGTGATAAGGAAACATCA